TCCTCTCTCCTCTTCCTCTCTCTCTCTCTCTCTCTCTCTCCTCTCTCCTCTCTCCTCCTTTACTACACTTCGCTCCCCTCTCCCCTCCTCTCTTTTCCCCCCCTCCTTTCCCCCCCCTCTCCTCTCTCCTCTCCGTCATTGTGCAGTTTGGCAGGCCAATCACGGCCTTCCAGAACACGCAGTTCCAGCTGGCCGACATGGCAACAGCAGTGGAGGCATCTCGCCTCATGGTTCGCAGCGCTGCCACTGCCATTGATGCCAAGGCGCCCTGGGCAACAACAGCCGCTGCCATGGCTAAGAGGTGAGTGCTGTGTGGGTGCTGTGTGGGTGCTGTGTGGGTGCTGGGTGGGTGCTGGGTGGGTGCTGTGTGGGTGCTGGGTGGGTGCTGTGTGGGTGCTGTGTGGGTGCTGTGTGGGTGCTGTGTGGGTGCTGTGTGGGTGCTGTGTGGGCGCTGTGTGGGTGCTGTGTGGGTGCTGTGTGGGTGCTGTGTGGGTGCTGTGTGGGTGCTGTGTGGGTGCTGTATGTCCCGCCACCACGTTCCCTGTCATTCCCGCCATGCCCTTCAGCTCGTTGCCTTTTTTTTTCTTCTTCTTCATTTTTCTTGTGTGGTGATTTGCATTCCCTTCATGCATCTCTCCATTTCCCATTCAGGTTTGCGACAGATAATTGTTACCAGGTGGCCAATAAGGCGTTACAGATGCTCGGAGGCTATGGGTTCCTGCAAGATTACCCTGTACGTTGCTGTCCTCCCCACAACTGCCTCTGTACCTGGGTGTGTCTATGCTCTCCTGCTCTTACTATTAAGACACACATGGCAATGTACATTTGTTACATATCAATATCATATTTTCATATATATTCATTTGCGTATGCCTACACATATCCGTACATCTGCGTAGGTGGAGCGATATCTGAGGGATCTTCGAGTGCACACCATTCTGGAGGGCACGAACGAGATAATGCGCCTCATCATAGCACGACGCCTCCTACAACCATGAAACTGCCATGTTATTGCAGCTCCTGTATATATTGCTGCATGTACCATGTGTTGGACTGTGGAATAAGAGTATCCTTTCTCTTGCCTCCTCCTACCATGTACATATGACATTCTGTCAGCCAATATTGTGCCTTTTTCTGTAGAACTTGCTGGGCTGTTCTTTACATTACTGTACCGCGGCAATTCGAATTAATTGAATTGAATGCATGAGTGGGGTCGAGAAAAAACTGCAGTGCTCATTGGCTAAGATGTATGCCACACCGCATCGGGTCTCGGGGGGTCCACCCTCCTGCCCACGCAGAGGCAGCCCAATCTGTGCATTGCGATTGGAGGAAACAACTTTATATCCGTCATCAAGTCATTCGAGTCAGCACTGCAAGTCATCAGCCGACATCTGTACGACTAGCCTTGCAAAGTACAACTTTAGGGCGTGTAACTTTTTTCCGAACCAGTGAATGTCCGGACCTTCCCGCAAAAGTGTACGGACAACCTCTGTACGGACGTTTGGGCTCACAGGTCTGGACGGAAGTAGGTGCGGACTAGAATTGTTGAACTTTTTTGGGTTCCGAAATTTGAAACACTTACGACAGGTTACGCACGCTACCTACTCTTCGCGTTTTTCGCCCAGGTTGAAACGCGCTTCGGCGCAACGCAGTCCCAAGTCCGAAGAAGTTGCCGAAACCCTGAGCAGTCTCCTCTCACATAGGAGTGTCCGGTTTGGGTTCGTCAACTGCCGGGGTTTCGTCTGGGTTTCCAGCGGTACTAGGGGGTTGGGAGTTGTCACCTACAGAAGGCGGGTCTATTTTTGTAGCATGCGTGGTCCGGACCACTTTTTCTTGTAGTGACACTGTGAGATGGTTCGAATGGTATATCTCAGCGGACAAGCGAGCCCGCCCAGGGGAGCTCGCTGCCCGCGGGCTAAAAAAAAAAACCCCAGACGGGCATGCATCCGGTCAGGGAGCCTCAACCCTAAACGCGGGGAGGCATGGTGTTTAGGGTTGAGGCTCCCTCGGATGGCATGCCATCCGATGGGGTTTTAGTTTTTTCTGCCCCGGGCAGCATGTCGACAGGTCGTCGGAGGGTCGTCAGGCTTGACGACCCGTTTCCGCTGAGATTTTCCCGTCGGATTGAGATGGTGTGGTAGTTGAAATTGGCGCAATTGCAAAATTGGCGATCCGGCAGAATTGCTTCAGCGACTCGTGAACCCGGGTCGCGGATTTGTCAGTTTTGTGTTTTCGTCCGCCAATGACAGCGAGGCAGAATCAGACGGTCCGATTCATGTCCGGACACTGAATGGACCGCCTGCATGTGCCAAAAAACCCGAAAAAAGTTTCACATGTGGTACGGACCTGTGCGACGTCGCCAACGTACTCACGAAAGGCATTGCGAACAATGTCGAATTTAGTAACCACCTCAACCGTCCGGACTGCCCGAAGTCCGGACGGCGGTTCGAAAAAAAGTTACACGCCCTTATACGGTATCCTCAAGTCAGCCCTGAGTCAGCATTGCAAGTCATTACTGTACACCTAGCCCGCGCCAACTTCACTATGGCCAATTTCACCCCCCTGTGTGATTCTTTCAGAATTACCCGACATTGAAGGGTTGTTCCGAATGATTTCGTTTTAAAGAGGGTATGTTTCAGACGTCTCAGACGAGTTAGAGGGTACAAAAACGGGTCGCAATTAAACTATGGTCGATTCGCTCCGGTATGAGTGTGAGAGTTTTATTAATATCTCGACACTTGACTGACTTATTGATAGCCTTCAAATTTGGGGAGTTCAATGGTAAAGCCAACATCGGGTTCAGGGTGCTTTTCGAAACAAGTTGCAGGGCGTGAAATTGGCGAGGGCTAGGTGTAACCAGTTCCGCCTTTTGTCGCTGTCGTGTGCTTGCCTTGTTGCATGGGTGGGGTGGTTGGCGGTGTCTGTTCACACATGGCGGTGGGCTTTGTTTGCTTGTTTGGTCCTTGTGTGTGGGGGCATAGCGAAGCGGGGAATGGCGGTGGCGCAGCATTCGGATGCCATTGGGATCTGATCGAGCTTGTGTTGACACCGCTTGGTTGCGGCTCGTTCGCCGTAGACGATCTCTCGTCTCGGTGTCCCATGAAATAACGAAGGGGCAGAGTGTGTGGCTGTGCGGCTGGCATGGTCCTTAGAATGCTGGGTACAGCCAATTTCGTCCGTCATCGTATGAAGCCTGTTGCCACCTCACTCCAGCACATGGTGTCCGCATCTGGCGCTGCCAGTGCGACATACGCCGCCATGGCTAGACGATTCAGTCCCGCTAGTGGACATACACACTACTTCCACTCTGTTGGTAGCCGTCTCGGTGAAATCTCAGAAAAACATGCTCTTATCTGCGTAGTCTGCACTGAAAAGTCAACGAGTCGTCTTCCCTTGAAACTTTTGCATCAGCTCCACGGTGAGTCATTTTCTCACCACCTAACCGCTGATTAGGATTTGAAGTATCATTTTTTGAGGCCTCCATACGACCTCGGACCTGATACGTGAGGGCACCGCAACAAGCTCCCATTTCTCTCTCTGCGAGTAGCTTGTCCGTGATTGTAACGCATCGCTGGGGCGCTGTACGGATAGTTTAGTCTGTCGACGGATTGAATGGGAGTCCACGGGAATAGAGCAAGCACACGAAACAGCCCACTGTTAGTACGGAACCAGTCTGAGCCTTGGCACAAAGCTCGCTTCCAAGCAGTTTGTGTACTTGCGGCTTTTTGGTCTGAAGATATATTTCAAATACAAGTTGTCTGCTAATACACCTGTCAGGATTCAGGCGTCCGTCTCCGTATCACGACGGCTTGCCTATCGTTGCTCCGGAACCTTCGCTTCAGCGGCGAAGCGCGCAAGGTATTCTGCGACGGGCATTAGGAGTCGTATCTCAGTACACTGCTGACGCCAAGCTTCGTCGCTAAGTAATGTGGCATCACCGGTGCCAGTGAGCTTTGCGACATGCGCGGCGACAGATGCGGGGCGGCGCGACGCTCGCGGCGGTGACAGATGCGGGGCGCGACGCACGCAGCGACGACAGATGCGCTTCGGCGTTTACCTGAGAACGGAGGCTAGCAGCTCAAGCGGGCGGCGCGCGAGTTTCTGGTGATTTTTTTGGAGTCCAAATTGCTGAGCGGTTCGGCCAGCGGCTCGATCTCCACCACCACGGCTCAACCCTGACGGAATGTCCCCTGCTGCCACCACCGTCGCAGCCACCCCGCATGCTCCTCAGTTCGGTGCTTCTACTACTACTACTAGTGAATGCGACGGAGCTGTTGTACGCGTTAGAAGCAGTCCATTTTTGCCAGATTGTTGCCTTGACGACGCATCGTCCGAGGCGTCCCTTTCTGGTTCTTTTTCCTCTGCCAGCGGCGGCGGCGGCGTCGGCGCTTTGAACTGTAATATCCCCGTTAGTATCACGTTCCGGCGCCTTCCATCGTATCGAGGCCGATTAAGCCTCGATAATGGCAGCGCGACGAGCGCAACAAGCGCTGCGAGTTCGTTACTCCCGGGTGCGGCCTCTGCTGGCGACGGCTCGCGATCCTTCTTCTCCCCGTCGCACACTCGCGAGTCCATTCGCGCGGACCGCGATTTGCAACTGTCGCGAGTCGCCAGCGACGCGGCGTACGCGGCGAAGCTGGCAGCCTCGGGCGAAATCATCGGCGAGGGTTACCACACAAGAGGAAACGAGGCCGCATCCGAGAGGGGAGACTTCAAGTTAGTACTAAGCCCAGATCCGATCAGACGCCACGGAAATGCAACGATTTCCGCGGCGGGAGGAGGAAATGTCGGCCTAGGGTTTGAGACGGAAGGCAACGCGGCTAATTTCAGCTCAAACCGCCTGAGCTGGCTCGAGGAAGCGGGATTTGCGGCGGAACTGGCGGCGCTGTCGGCGGGAAACGGTGCGGGCGGCGCGACGCGCCTCTTGCGCCAGGCGGAAAGCATGAAAGCGCGCCGAGCTGCGTACGACTACTTCTTTCACAGCCCTTCCGCCGCCCTGCCCGTTGACTCGTCAAAATCACGCGCCGCCGCGCTGCCGGCGTGGGACTCCTTCAATCCGCTTTTCTCCGGCCGCGAATGGCGGCTCTACGCTGTACCCGACGACTCCAGCGGCGGCGGTGGCGGGGGTTGCGGCGGCGCTCCATGCGGCAGCGGGACTGACGAGATCGGGGCGCGTTCAAGCGACTGGCGCAGGGGCTGGGGGGGTTCCGCGGAGGGACGTGGCGGGGAGGGATGTTGGGGGGAGGACCGAGGCCGCGGCAGGGAGGCTCGTTATGGCGAAGGTCTTGGAGACGACGAGTCGTCTGGATTCGGCATGTTCTCGTCGCGCAACGGCAGAAGCAGCAGCCCGTCGTTCTTCTCCCCTTCCCGCCGCCTTTTGAGGCGTCTCAAAAGTCGAGAGGACGAGTCGTCTGGATACGGCATGTTTTCGTCGCGCAAAGGGAGAAGCAGCCCGTCCTTCTTCTCCCCTCCGCGCCGCCGTGAGAGCAGCGCGTGCGCTCCGCGGGACAGCAGCGCGTGCGCTCCGCGAGACAGCAGCGCGTGCGCTCCGCGAGACAGCAGCGCGTGCGCTCCGCGAGACAGCAGCGCGTGCGCTCCGCGAGACAGCAGCGCGTGCGCGCACCGTGACACTGGGAACTCCGGCAAACCCTTTTTCCCCCTTCCGCGTGACATCGCTTCCCCTCACGCTTCCGCTCCGCGCCATAGCGCTTCCCCTCCGTGCCACAGCGCTTCCCCTCCGCGCCATAGCGCTTCCCCTCCGCGCCACAGCGCTTCCCCTCCGCGCCACAGCGCTTCCCCTCCGCGCCACAGCGCTTCCCCTCCGCGCCACAGCCCCTGCGCTGTCCAATCCGCAGAGCCCTGCTCGTTCCCCACTCCGCACCCGTCCTTGGCCAGGACAGTGAGTGAAGAAGAGTCTTCATTGACCAGCCGCAGGCGGGGTAGCGGAGCTACTACCAGCCACAGGCGGGGTAGCGGAGCTACTACCAGCTCTGTAGTCACCCTGCTGCATCCCCGCAGCAGCACCTCACTGCCTTTGCCGCTGCCACAGGGGCAGGGGCAGGGGCAGGGGCAGGGGCAGGGGCAGGGGCAGGTGGTGGGGAGAGACGAGGAGACATCTGTGGGAAATTTTCGAAATAAGTCTCTGGATTCGCTACAGCAGCAGCATGAGCTGCACCAGGTTTCGGATTTGCCGTTGAAGCTTATACCCAATCGCCTGTACTCGTTTGAAGCCTCTAAGCCTGCGTGCAAGTTCCCCGACATGACCTCTCCTGGACACTCCACACCTGCTTCCGAAGCAGCACCTGTGTCCGAAGCGGCACCCGAACCTGCGCGCCAAGCTCCTGGCTGCGCGCACGAGCCTGCTGCTCGCCGAAGCAGCTCTGGGACTGGCGCTACTACTGCACTCGGAACTAATCACTTCGAGAGCAAATGCACTCTCGCTCTTGCTCCCGCTGCCGCTGCCGCCGCCGCTGCCGCCGCTGCTCCACGTCCTCCTCCTCCTCCTCCTCCTCCTCCTGACCTACACCCACGAGAGAGAGCTCGTGTGCAATCCTGCAGCGTCATTTCTGACATCCCGTTTCAGCCATTTTTTTCTGCTGACTCTACACCTGTGAGCGGGCTCAGTGGACTTGGTGGTGGGCTTAGTGGGCTTATTCCGTGGTCCGCTTCCTGTGTTTCTGACATGGCTATGGCTGTTGAAGATGGCAGCGTCACCAGCAACGGCAGCAGCAGCAGTGCTCGCAGTGGCAGTGGCAGGGGGATTGGCAGTGGTGGTATTGGTGCTGGTGTTGGCAGCAAAGGTAGTGAGAAAAGGCGAGGGCCTGGCATTCAGCTAGGCAGCAGCAGTCAGAACAGCAGCAGCAGGAGGAGAAATAGTGGGAGCAGCAGGAACAGCAGCAGCAGCAACTGCAGTGGAATCAGCAAGGGAAACGGCGAGAGTCTGTCAAGCCGAAAGGACATTAGCAGCAGGTGCTCTCCACGAGAAGTGTTGCAACGGTTTTGGAAGGGAGAACGGAGGGATGAGCAGGAGGAGGAGCCACACAAGGATGCAAGGGAAGAAGAGAAGGAACAAGTCACAGAGAGGCGGGAAAACCCTGCAAAAGGTGCAGAGGGAGAAGGGGGCAAGGGAGGAGGGGCGGAGGGAAGGGAGGGTTTCACATGGCATGGGGCAACAGACGCACAGGAAGTGCTGGTGAGAGGCTCTAGGCATGACGGGTTCAGAGCAAGATTGAAGAGATGGTTGTGCAAAATGAAAGGACCGTGAATGGAAATAGGGTAGTACCGTGAGTTACCTACCGGTATTTTTTGCTGTGACAAATCAGATTATTAATGAATGAATTGATTTTCTAGTGAAATATATAACAATGAACCAAACGTCCTATTAAAGCATCCATGGTTACTCCTGCACAATCTTACTGCAGCTTGCCATCTTTCAAACGAGCAGATAAGGGCGTGTGTCCTTAGGGGTTGAACTTTGGCCAAAGTTCTAACTTCTAGGGAGGTTGGGCACGGTAAATTACATTTCAGAAACACGTCGCCATGGTGCAAAGCGGTAAGAGTTTGAACTTCTGACAATGTTTGCTAGAGGACACATGCCCTACTGCTTCTAAAAAATCAGGTCATTCAGGTTGCTTTCTTCCCAAGCAGCTGGCGCCACCACTTAGGCTTGGCAGCTACGCCAAACAACCCAGGATCAGCCAGAATCCCCACCTTAACCTTCTGTTTAAGCACGACACTCGATAGTGTCCTTCTCAAGAACGCGCCCTTGATGCTTTTGCTCTCAGATCTCCTCTCAGACATACCGGTAGTAGGTATGGCTGCTCCCTCATCTTCCACATCCCCCTTGAATACATCCTCGTCTGATTCTGTACAAATCGTAAGAGCAGCTGGAGGGCTGCTGCTTACAAAGGAAAATTCGTCCGCGCTCGCTAAGGGATCCGGAACAGGAATGAAAACCAATCCCGATGCTCCTTCCCTGCGCTTACTCGTCCTCGCGAGAGCACGTTCACGAGGCGAGTCTGGAGTCCGAGTCGCCTCGGGAGCATCAGAGGGAGGGATAAAAACAGCCCCCGATGCTCCCTCTCTGTATTTCCTTGTCCTCGTCTCTGCTGCTGGTGCTGCTTCCGTCAACTCAGCCAGTGATCCTTCCCCATCCGCAGCATGCTCCGCCTCATTCTCACCATCTTCCTGCGCCTTCTGCTCCTCCACCTCCTCATCCACCTTCTCATCCGCATCCTGCTCCTGTTCCTCCTCTGTTCTTCTCCTACCTTCCCAACGCTCGACCTGATTGCGAGTCGCCCCAACGGGCATCGCTCCGAGCTTCGCGCCGTAGCAGCCGCGCGGCGGCTGCTGCTGCTGCTGCCGGCCGTAATGCTGCGGCTGGTGATACGCGCTATAGAATCGATGCGAGTGGTGCCATTCCACAGCTCCGATCTCAATTCCGTCCGTATCATTTCCCACCTCGTCATCCCCTGCCTCGTGCAACGAACCGTGTAAAGAGTTGTGCTGAAACGGATCTTGCGTGTGACTGAAGCTCCGACGAGATGGTGAAAAGAATCCCGGACTCGAGGGAGAGAGGCGGGGCGACGACTCGGCGGATGACAACTCAGCACCCGTCCACGTGTCACCGCCACACCCGCTGCTACATCCCTTCACATATCCGCCGCCATTCTCGCTCTCAAATCTGCCGTCAAGCACGCCGCCGAGTCTGCTGCTCGCCCTCTCGCTGCTTGACGACTCATGGCTTAGATTAGTCACGGCGGTGGCCCACGTGCTATTTGACACGTGGCTTCCGCTGCTGCTGCCTGTCGATGTTGACGTGGCGAACCGCGCGGTGGCGATGGACCTGCTGATCACGGTGGCTTTGGCCGCATCTGCGGTAGAATGCAAGGGTTCAGCTGCTGCTGACGTGGCATCAGTTAGCGGTTCGGCCGGGTTGCAGGAAGCTTCGAGGAAGACAGCGGCAGGCACGTCGTCGACGGGAGAAACTGGTAACGAGGGGGATGCGGGAGCAGACGCGGCGGCGACAGAATTCGTCGCCGCGACGAAACTCGCGTAGCCCTCAGCACCGTCGCCGCCGCCGCCGCCGCGGCCGCCGCCGTTGGCGCCGTCACAGCCAATCGCATCTTCAGCAGAACCAGCGGCAGCAGCAGCCGCGGCAGGAAGGGTGGGGAGAGCCGAGCCCGGAGGTCCTACTAGGGGCGACGCCGCCCTAGCTATGACCGTTATAGACGTGACGCGTTGAAGCGGAACGAGCTCAGCAGGTCTTTGATGAATTTGAGTATTTGCATCAATTTGATGGAAATCACGGGAATGATTATAGGGAGGATGGGAATGATGGGAAGGATAGGTTGGAGGGCCGGGTTGAGAATCGCCATCGTCAGAATATCTGACCGCCGCCCAAAAATCTTCCTCAGATATGCTCACCCGCCTACCGCCCCTGCCGCCCAGGTTGGTACTAGCAACAGTAACCCCGCAGCTGAAGCTCCCACTCCCCCCGCCGTTCAAGCTTCCGCTTCCCCCACCGTTACTAAAACTTCCGCTCCCGCCTCCGAAACTGCCGCTGTCGCCGCTGCCGCTGCCCCTGCTCCCGAATACGCCCTTTAAGCGAAACAAGTTACTGAAGGTTTCGCCAGTGGATCCTTTCGCAGGGACACAAAAGAAGCTCCCGCTCCCGTCGTCGCCGAGGTCGCACGATCCGTCGCTGAGCAAGCCGACGCTTCCTTGTCGCTCGAACAAAAAGAACGAATCGCGCGCATTCGTCGACGCCGCGGCATGCGACGGGGAAAAAAAAGAAGGCGAATCGCACGACGATGCCGCGACAGCCGCTTCCATTTTCAATCTCCGTAGAAGGTCGATTCGCGGCGACTGGCTCGTCAGAAACGCCACGTCAGCACCGCTGTTCCCAAGACCGCTGCCGCTTGATCCACCCATAAGGGGAAAATCCCCCAGACCAACCCCGCCGTCGACGCTCATTCCAGGTGGCAGCGACCGTCGCTGCGCAGAAAGCCGTGCGCCGTTCGCTGTGCCTCCGCTGCGGGCGGTAAAATCTCCGCCGGGGGCAGGAGAAGCGGGGCCGCGGTTTCCGTCGCCGGGGGTGGCGGCGGTTTCCGCGGGGTCCTCGCGGGGCCCGCTGCTACGAGGGCTGTTGGAAGCGAGAATGACGGAATTGGCGGGTGACCTGGGCGCAATGGCGTGAAAAGAGGGGAAGTCTCCGGAAAAGGAGCGCGAGTGTCTGTGTCGTGGCGCGCGGCGGCACTCGGCGCGCTTGCCGTGGGGAGAAAAAGAGCGCTCACGCGGACTGCAGGCATCAGCAGAAGGTGCGGCGGCGACAGGGGGAGCCGCTCCTACTGCGCAGGAGTCACCAGCGGCTGATGTGGAGAATAATTCTGCAGGTGGTGCGGCGGGTGATGCGATGGATGGTGCGGCGCATCCCGCAGCAGCGGCGGACGAGCGCGAAAGGCGCGATCCTCCAGCAGTGGAGTGAAGATGGTGTGAAGCCGACGTGGCGGGAAGTATTCGCGGCGCAGAAGCGCGCAAAACCTGAGGCGACATGAAGTTAGTGTAGGAGGAGGGCCTAGGCGCCGTGGGTCTAGGCGGGTTTGGGGGGGGAAAGGGGGGGTTGTGCTTTGGGAGAAGGGAGGGAGGGAACACACGGCGCGGGAAATACTACAAAAAACCAGGAACTAGGTGGCTCCTGGGACCGTCCTAACTTTCCAGACGCCTCGGAAACTCTCTGTTTCTGTGGCCGCCAACTTCTAACACTTTCCCGACTTTCCACAACTGGATCCCGTAAGACGGGGACTGGTCCTGGAGCTGTTAGGACTAAAGGGCACAAACGACCATCTAAGAGTCTCGTAACAGCGGAGTGATGACAAGAACCCGTCTTCTACTTCGCGTCATTTTCTTCTTTCACGCGTAGGACTGATGAGTAATAAATCACTCCGCCATAAACCACGAAATTAGGAGCAGATGCAGCTGACAATGGACCACTGCAGGTGGTACTGTATTGAGGTGCATCGTCTCGCGACTCGCGTGTCAAAAGCTCTAGCAGAACAGGCGTATTGAGCATATGCATCGGGGGGAGATAATATTGGGCAATTTCGAGAATCTATGTCACGTGATCGCATCGAAACCGCACTGCACTCTGTTGTGATGCTTCCAACCCCGCAAGAACGAAACTGAAGTCCATCGAACCTGATGATAGAAAATTTTATCCAACCCCTCCAACATAAATTCCGTCATAAATTTCGTGGACCAACCCCTGCAGAATTTCTGTAGCACGTGAAAAGAGGCGGGAAAAAGGACAGGGTCCAATGATCGTCGTTGTGGTGCGTCAGCAGCATGCGACGTGACAGTCGTTCAGTACAAGACCTTTAGGGCGGGGTGCATCATGCTGAATTTGCATGATCGCCCCCTGATCGCGATGCTAGCACCGCAACCTTGTTGAATCCGGTGGGGTTGGGCGTGCTCGAGGTCCCATGCAACCCAACGGCGCCCTCCCATGATACACCACCCGCAATTCCCACCAATGAGACGCGGTCGAGGCGTCGCATATACAGTGTGGTTTCAGGGTTGATTTCGTAATGTTTTCGTTATTACCTCGCTTACATTTCGTTTGATCGTCAGGCGACTAAATATTTCTCGCGAACAAGGATCGGTGTGCACGTGGTGCACCTTCAACCCTTGATCGCGTGGGATCACAGGCTCTCAGATCCAGCGTGATCGAGGGTGGTTGAGTGGCAGTTTTTGCGATCCCCCAGGGTCGTGGTGCAGCAACGCTACAGTAAGTACTGTACGCAAAAGACAAAACACTGTAACAAGGATCGCTTGGGATCGCGATCCTGAAAAACTGCATGATGCACCCCGCCCTTACGTACGGGGGGAACGGACTGCACAGTACGTTGATGCTGAGCAAAGCAACGGTTTGGAGCGGAACAACAGTTCGGGGCGGAACAACGAAGAACTGATGTCAAGCGAATGTTGCGAGGGAGGAAAGCGGAAAGAAAGGAAAGAGGAAAGCGGAAAGCGGTGGCTAGGGGTAGATAGAAAGGGAGTGGGTGGGAGCAGGGCTATTGCTAGGATTTTTGCTAGCTCGGACGATCCGGGCCCCTGTGAAAAAGACCCTGTAAAATCCGAGCCAGCGGGAAAAAAACCTTGACGAATCCGGGTTCGAGCCAGAAAAGGCCTGAAAACATGCATTACCAGAATTTCGCGGGAAACTCACAGTGGGTTGCGCGAGGGCTGGGGAGATTGGAGATGGAGTGGCTCTGGAGGGGTGAGCGAGATACTTTTTGTAGACTTAGAAAAAAATACGATGAGGAAGAGTACATAGGGAGAACAGGGCAATCAGACACTCTCTCCTTATTGGCCTTCTAAGCCATGTCGACGTAGAGGTTAAGGTTATATTAAGGTCGTAACCTATATACAAACATGCATAGAGCAAGCAGGGAATATGGTCAAGATGGCCGCCATGTCGACGTAGAACGGGGCAATCAGACACATGGAGGCCAACAAGGAGAGAGTGGTTAGGAAATTCACTAAAATTGGCCCAACGTGTGTTTAGAGGGAGACCGAGAGGAATGCAAGGCAGGTCGGGGAGAACATGTCTGCTAAAATTATACGGGTCCCCTTGAGAACTCCCCGGAGAGATCCGAGCTGACTCAAAAATCACCCTTCAGTTTTACGGGCTGGTCCGGAAAAAACCTTGTGAAAATCAGGGCTCCTAGAAAAAACACCCTATAATTTCAGTCAGGGTAATTGCCCTGATAACTTAGGCCCTGGGTGGGAGGGGTGGGGTGATGAAGTTGGAGTGGGGATAGAGTGGAATGTAGTGCGGTCTGATGCGGTGTGGTGAGATGTGATAACAAAAGCTATGCATTGAAGGGAGACATGGAAGTGGGAAGGAAGGCCAGTGGGAGAGAGGCGGTCCTAAAAGGATTGGCTGGCAGACTTGCAAAATCAGCAGCAATGCACCACACGGCCGTGAAGACGACAACGCCGCAGGAAAACGATTCACCAGGCAGGTGACTAGTGTACAGTAAAACAGTGTTCTGTGCAGCTCGCTTTTGCCAGGCTGTCTACAGTGCTAGCGACGGCGACAAAACCGAGCGAGGACCAACTTCACAACACCCGCACCGCACCTCTCCTCGCCCTCGCAGCGCACCTCCCCTCACACCACACCAGACCAGACTAAACCACACCGCACCACACCACACCACACCGCCTCCCTCCCCATCGTGGAGCCCGCACTCCCGTAGCAGCGCGCTGCCCAGTGTGCAGCAGGTTGATCCGATGGTCGAATTCGAGAACGGGACAAGTGCCGGACTGGTCCCAAGATCATCCAATCAGAAGTTATTGAAGGGACAACTGCTGACAAACAGAAGTTTCTTTGGATGGGACTATTCACACCCTAAACAGTTGTCGCTTACAGGTACACAGTGCACACTTTCCGTACTGTACCTCTAATTTCGAAATGATGTCCGCAGTGAAGGAATGAGGGGGAGTCTTGATATTTTCTATACACTACATGGCCTCGCATTGAAGCAGTAATGCATAAGTTGCATATCCATCTTGAGACTAGGTGGCTGAGATACATTCAAAACTTATCTTAAGCATTTGGGCCTATAAAGAATGTCTCTGAAATTGTCGCCTCAATGCTTTCGGGGGTGTACACAAACAGCTTACTTGAAGTCAAGTCATCCCTTCAGATACACAACATTTGGGGAGAAAGAAAGCAGAAGGAAATGGTAGGAATAGGGCAGGAAGAAAATGGTTTTGAGTTACAGGATCCAATCCAGTGTCATTCTTCCTCTATCGTCCATCGTGAGAAGGCTATGAGCCACTGGGTGACATCTGGTGACATCTCTTCTGTGGACCATCAACCACTGGGTAAGGTCACATCAAAGTTAGTCAACTTAGCTGCAGGCACGGTCTCTTCTCTTGCTCACACCATTATGTTATGCCAGCAGCATCCTGGAGCACCTCTCGCGCAGCAGCGTCGATCACTTGGCACATTTACTCAAGTGAGATGCAAAGCAAATGCATACCAGTCAAGTCCAGACCAGTCAGCTGCCGATCGCTCTCACTCACCATTATGCCAGCAGCATCCTGGAGCACCTCTAGGCTCTAGCGCAGCAGCATCGGTCACTTGGCACATCTACTCAAGTGAGATGCAAAGCAAATGCATACCAGTCAAGTCCAGACCAGTCAGCTGCCAGTCGTTCTCACTCACCGGAACGCCAGCAGAATCTTGCAGTATCGCTAGTGCAGCACAATCAACCACTTGCCACAGGTATTTCAAATCAACTCAACTCCCATAGAATCAAAGTCAATTCAAGTCAACACAAGTCAACCAAAGTCAGCTGCTAGTCACTCTCATTAGAAGGGCAGTAGCATCTTGCAGTACCGCTCGCGCAGCTCCTCGCTTGCATGCAAGTCAACTCAGGTCAGCGTTAGTCAACTGTTCACACTGCCGGTCGCTCTCACCAGAAGGGCAGCAGCATCTTGCGGTATCGCTCGCGCAGCACCGTGGACCACTTGGCGCGGGTCTTCCTGCGCAGCTCCTCATCGGGAATGCACCACCGCCGCTGCCTCGCCACCAATGACTCAAACGCTGTGTTGAATCGGCGCAACCTGGGAAAAGGAGAGATGGGGGGGGGGGCGGGGGGAACGTAGTGGGGGATGGTGGGAAGGGGTGGGGGGATGGTGGGAGGGAATGGGGAAAGGTGGGGGGAAGGGGTGAAGTGTGTGAGAGCAGCATTGCGCAGCACAGTGGACCACTTGGCGCGGGTCTTCCTGCGCAGCTCCTCATCGGGAATGCACCACCGCCGCTGCCTCGCCACCAATGACTCAAACGCCACATTGAACCGCCTCAACCTGGGAGGAGAGATGGGGGTAGGCGGTGCGATGTGGTGGGGGATGGTGGAGTGCGGTGAACCTCATCGGGAACGCACCACCGCCGCTGCCTCGCCTCGCCACCAATGACTCGAACGCCCCGTTGAACCGCCGCAACCTGGCGGGGAGAAGAGATGTGGGGAGGTGGGGACGGATGGAAAGGGTTGAGAAGAGGTGAGTAGTGGTGAGGAGGTGTGGGAGTGGTTGGTAGGGTGTGCTGCTGCACAGGAGGAGGGTTGCATTGCGCGGTGAGTGAGGAAAAAAAAGGCGAGAAGAAAGAGGAGGCTTACATGTTGAGCCTAAGCTTGACAGAGCCAGCCAGGTGTGCCTGGGGAAGGCTCATCTGATTGTTGAGTTCCTCGACTCAAGAAAGAGGGGGCAAGGCTTACCTGTTGAGTCTGAGCTTCAGAGTCAGGTGTGCCCCGGGGAGGCTCATCTGATTGTTGAGTCGCTTGACTCACAAAGAGTCGAGCAACTCGGGCAAGGCTTACCTGTTGAGTCTGAGCTTCACAGAGTCAGGTGTGCCTCGGGGAGGCTCATCTGTGAGTGCTGCCATGACCTTTGGGGTGAGGGGAGAGAGACAAGCAGGCAGGGCAGCAGGCAGGGCAGCAGGCAGAGAGGGAGGACAGCAGGCAGAGAGGGAGGGAGGCAGGGAGGGGGGAAAGTGGAAAAGGCAACTCAGGTGGGACTCAGGGAAGGTTCATCTGTGAGTGCTGATATGACTGAAACGCCAAGGAGAACAGCAGGTGGGAGAGGGGCAAGGAAAGCGGTACCTGCTGCAATATCTATCCCCTCCCCTGCCCTGACCCCTCCCCTTTTTTTCTGGTGCACTGCACATCGCCCATCGCTAATCAAGCAAACAATCACAGGAATCGCCTCCTACTCCTGAGCACCGCACCACAGGGGATTCGATATGCAGGAGGGGACATTCGATCTCCCCTGTGTCCCCCACGACTCACAGCAGCGAGCGCGCGGCTCTGGAAGGCTGTGGCATGAATTGACTTTTGAGTCGACTCAAAAGTCACCTCTGCACAATGTGGCCGTCCCACGGATCCTCTGAAAGCCCTCACTTCATCCAGCACCCTCCCCCCTCCATTCTCCCTTGCCCTCCCCTTTCCCCGCTCCCATTCCCAACTCACAGCAGCCAGCGCGCGGCTCTGGAAGGCTGTGGCGTGCAGCTGCACGATGTGGCCGTCCCTCAGATCCGCTGACAGTCTTCACGTCCCTCTTCCCCCCTCTTTCCCCCTATTCCCTCCTATCCCGTTCCCTCTCTCAACCCCCTCCACCACTCACAGCAGCCAGCGCGCAGCTCTGGAAGGATGTGGCATGGAGCTGAACAATGTGGCCGTCCCTCAAATCCGGAAAGTACCTTCACTTCCCTCTGCCCCCTCCCCTATTCCCTCCTATCTTTAACTCCCCCCAACCACTCACAGCAGCCAGCGCGCGGCTCTGGAAGGCCGTGGCGTGCAGCTGCACAATGTGGCCGTCCCTCAGATCCGCCATGGCTGCTGTGAGGTCCCTCGCGCCCTCCCTGTGGGGTGCACGTGTGTACGACACGACAAGGGGGAAAAGGCGGATGACAAATGATGACACGTGATTGGAGGGCATGGACCTGCACGATATGGCCGTCCCTCAGATCCGCCATGGCTGCTGTGAGATCCCTCGCGCCCTCCCTGGGGTTTGTGGATGTTGAGGTGGGGGAAGGGAGGGTTGTAAGGGGAATAGCCACATGCAGAGAGGGTATTTTTGAGACGTCTCAAAAATACCCTCGCTGCACGTGGCCCCTCGCTCGCGCCCTCCCTGGGGTTTGTGGATGTTGAGGGTATGAGGGGAAGGGAGGGTTGTAAGGGGAAGGAAATGGAGGGGAGAGAAATGGCAAATGGACGGAGGGTATGAGGGAGTGGGGTTGTGCTTCGTCCCTCAGATACGCCATGGCTGCTGTCAGGTCCCTCGCGCCCTCCCTGGAATATGTGAGTGTGTGTGGGGAAAGGGAAGGGGGAGGGGAAGGGATGATGAAATGGACGGAGGGAGCGGTTGTGAGCCTGCAGACTTGTGAGGCGACTGAGGAGGCAGTGAGGGAGATGGCAAAAAGGTCGTTTTTGAGGCGCCTCAAAAACGACCTCAGTGGGGGAGATGGCAAAAGGAAAACTCTACATGCAAGCAGCGAGCGGGAAGGGAGGACGCAGAAAGCGGAAAGCAGCAAGGGGTGCGAATGATGGCTTACTTGCGGGCTTGTGAGAGCGGGTGGTTCAGGCTGTCCACGTGCCAGCGGTACCAGTCAGCGCTGTGGGTAAGTGACACAACGGAAGGGGGGAGGGGGGTAAGAGGAGGGGAGGGGAGGATAGAGTGAGAGCGGGTGGTTGAGGCTGTCCATGTGCCAGCGGTACCAGTCAGCTCTGTGGGCAGTAGGGCACAAGGAAAAAGGGGAAGGCGGGTAGTATGGCACAAGGGACAGAAGCGGTGAAGAGGTTAAGGTTTAGAGGGAGACAGAGTGAGAGTGGGTGGTTCAGGCTGTCCACGTGCCAGCGGTACCAGTCAGCTCCATGTGCTGAAGCTCCTGCTCTCAACATACGCATGTATGTACAGTGCCCACACGCCTATCTACATACACTGCTCCTCTCCTGCTCAAGCGGACTGCACGAGGCAGTGCGTGTTGTTCATGAGGAACAGGTGCTGCAGCTCCTCCTCTCAACACACATACATGAGCGCATACCCTAAAACAAACACCCGTCTCACTCACGCGGATTGCACGAGGCAGTGCGTTGTTCATGAGGAACAGGTGCTGCAGCTCCTCCTCTCAACCCAGTATGTACCTGTGCGCACACCCCTATCCTACACAACCCTGCTCTGCTGTTACTCACGCGGACTGCACGAGGTAGTGCGTGTTGTTCATCAGAAAGAGGTGCTGCAGCTCCTCCTCGCGGTACAGCCCACCGCGTGCCTCCAGATTCACCACCAGCGCGCTGAGCAGGTGTGCCGTCTCACTCTCCGCACTCCGCCCCGCGTGCTGCTGCTGCCCTCCCCCTCGCTTCCACTTCCCATCCCCCGCCTTCCCACCGTCTGCCTTCCCACCCGCCGCCTTCCCGCCTGCCTTCCCGTCCCCCTTAGGCTTGCTGCTGCTCCCTCTGCCGCCTTCTTTCTCCCCATCCCTATCCTCCTCTTCCTCCTCCTCGTCACTCGCTGCGCCTTGTTCCTCCAGCAGGTGGAAGAGGGATGCGAGCACGTCCAGATAGCTGTTGTGGGTGGAGGGCACGCTGGGGGGTGGAGGAGGGGGGGAAAGGCGAAAGAGGGCGAAAGGTACGGGATGAATGGGGTTGGTTGGTAGAGACTCAAAGGCTCCTCCCGCAGGAGGAAGAGAGATGCGAGCACGTCTAGGTAGCTGTTGTGGGTGGATGGCACACTGCAGAGTGGGTAGGAATGGGAGGAAGGGGAAGGCAGAAAAAGGGAAAGGAGGGCAAAAGGCACGGATAAGGAGGGTTGCTAGAGACTCATCGACTCACCAGCCCAACGATTCACCACCAGGCCAACAATTCACCACCAGGCCAACAATTCACCACCAGGCCAACAATTCACCACCAGGCCAACAATTCACCACCAGGCCAACAATTCACCACCAGGCCAACAATTCACCACCAGGCCAACAATTCACCACCAGGCCAACAATTCACCACCAGGCCAACAATTCACCACCAGGCCAACAATTCACCACCAGGCCAACAATTCACCACCAGGCCAACAATTCACCACCAGGCCAACAATTCACCACCAGGCCAACAATTCACCACCAGGCCAACAATTCACCACCAGGCCAACAATTCACCACCAGGCCAACAATTCACCACCAGGCCAACAATTCACCACCAGGCCAACAATTCACCACCAGGCCAACAATTCACCACCAGGCCAACAATTCACCACCAGGCCAACAATTCACCACCAGGCCAACAATTCACCACCAGGCCAACAATTCACCACCAGGCCAACAATTCACCACCAGGCCAACAATTCACCACCAGGCCAGCAATTCACCACCAGGCCAGCAATTCACCACCAGGCCAGCAATTCACCACCAGGCCAGCAATTCACCACCAGGCCAGCAATTCACCACCAGGCCAGCAATTCACCACCAGGCCAACAATTCACCACCAGGCCAACAATTCACCACCAGGCCAACAATTCACCACCAGGCCAACAATTCACCACCAGGCCAACAATTCACCACCAGGCCAACAATTCACCACCAGGCCAACAATTCACCACCAGGCCAACAATTCACCACCAGGCCAACAATTCACCACCAGGCCAACAATTCACCACCAGGCCAACAATTCACCACCAGGCCAACAATTCACCACCAGGCCAACAATTCACCACCAGGCCAACAATTCACCACCAGGCCAACAATTCACCACCAGGCCAACAATTCACCACCAGGCCAACAATTCACCACCAGGCCAACAATTCACCACCAGGCCAACAATTCACCACCAGGCCAACAATTCACCACCAGGCCAACAATTCACCAGCCCAAAGACTCACTACCACCCCAATGACTCACCAGCCCAAGTTGGGCTGGTGGTGAGTCGTTGGCCTGGTGGTGAGTCGTTGGCCTGGTGGTGAGTCGTTGGCCTGGTGGTGAGTCGTTGGCCTGGTGGTGAGTCGTTGGCCTGGTGGTGAGTCGTTGGCCTGGTGGTGAGTTGTTCGGCTGGTGAGTGGATGGGCTGGATGGGGTCCACCACTCCCCTCTCAGTGCTGCCGGCATAACGGGCGTGGACTCTCAACTAACACACACAGGCACGCACCGGCGCATGTAGCTGCGGATGTAGTTGGCCACGTAGCTGGTGATTGGGTCAACTACACCCCCAGGTGGCATGACGTCCTGCGTGCTCTCCTCTGCTGCTGGCGATGCTGACGTGGTGCTAGCATTGCGACCCAGGAACGGCATTCTGCGGTGGGAGGGAGGAGAAGGGTGGAAAGGGGTGGAGTGGGACGGAGAAGAATGGGATGGAGGGAACGACGAGCAGGAGAGAGAGGAAGAAAGGGGAAAGGCTTGACAAGAGGGTGGAGCGGAGAGACTGATCACTCTGATCACTCTGATCACTCTGATCACTCTGATCACTCTGATCACTCTGATCACTCTGATCACTCTGCTTGAGTTTAGAGATTGCAAGATAAATGAATCAGGCTATTGCTGTACATACTTCGTTCAGGCTTATGCCAGTTCAGGCTTATGCCAGTTGAGGCTTATGCTGCTCACATAACAGAACAGCAGTACCCACCTGAACAACTTTGCAAGCGATGCCTTCTTCTCCCCCTCCCCTCCCTCCCCAACTCCACCCCCCGCTGCCTCCCCAGCAGCCACAGCAGCAATACCAGCTGCAGAGGCGGAAGGGGAAGCGGAGGAGGAGGAGAGGGGCGGGGCAGCAGCAGCCATGGCCTGGGCGGACTTGGTGGAGGTCTCTAGGAGGGCTTTAAAGCGGTCAAAGGTGTCGGCCACTGCACGTGCGATGAGGAGAGGGAGGTGCTGGCAGGCCGGCCACACCGCCTCCATCTTGAGCAGATTGAACGTGGCTGAGAGCTGGAGTGGGGGAGCAGAGCAAGGGGTTGGGTTTGACAGCGGTCGAAGGGAGGGGTAAGAGGTGGACAGGAGAGGGGTGGGAGTGGCACGGGCGATGAGCAGCGGGAGGTGCTGGCAGGCCGGCCACACTGCCTCCATCTTCAGGCGGTTAAAGGTTGCGGATAACTGGAATGGAAACAAGTGGGGGAGAGAAAGAGAACAAGACAGGGGGCTGAGGCTTGGTGGATGTTTCGTCGAGCGCTTTGAAGTGGTCAAAGGTGTCGGCGACTGCCCGCCGATGAGGAGAGGGAGGTGCTGGGAGGCCGGCCAAACCGCCTCCATCTTGAGCAGATTGAACGTGGCGGAGAGCTGGAACAGGGCAGGGGGGAACAAGTGGGGGAGCGGAGAGCAGCAAGTGGGGGCTGTGATGAGGGCGATTGGAGAGGGAGGAGAGTGGGACAAGGGGGAGGGAGTGATTCAGGCGTACCTCTGGCATGACCTCTTGGGCTGCCCGGAAGGCATCGAGCAGCGAGAAGAGCTGTTCGGGCAGGTTGCGGGCGATGATGGCGCGGAGGATCAAAGCGTGCTCTGCTATGCGCTTGCCCATGCCGCTGTCCTCCAGGATAGCCCTCAGTGCTCCCCGCTCGTGCACCTGAGGAGGTGGGAGGGGAGTGGAGGGGAGTGGAGGGGAGTGGAGGGGAGTGGAGGGGAGTGGAGGGGAGTGGAGGGGAGTGGAGGGGAGTGGAGGGGAGTGGAGGGGAGTGGAGGGGAGTGGAGGGGAGTGGAGGGGAGTGGAGGGGAGTGGAGGGGAGTGGAGGGGAGTGGAGGGGAGTGGAGGGGAGTGGAGGGGAGTGGAGGGGAGTGGAGGGGAGTGGAGGGGAGTGGAGGGGAGTGGAGGAGAGTGGAGGGGAGTGGAGGGGAGGGTAGGAGAGGGGAGAGGGAAGCAGCAGGGGGTTGTGGGGGGAAGAGGAGAGCAGGGGGGGGGGGGGAGGGTGGGGGAGGGGTGAAAAGAGGGGAGAAAGGGGGGAGTCAGGGGGGAGCAGGGGAGAGAAGAGCTGTTCGGGCAGGGTGCGGGCGATGATGGCGTGGAGGATCAAAGCATGCTCTGCTATGCACTTGCCCATGCCGCTGTCCTCCTTCATGCCCCCTACGTTCCCACCCCCCTGCCTCCTGCATTGCCTCTACTCCACACGCTCAGCAACCCAATTTCTCTCTCATCACCCCCTCACACGGTGACAATGAGCACCGGGGCTGCAGATTGTTTTTGAGAATTCTCAAAAACAATCTGCAGCATCAAGGACTTAGATTCCCCCGGTTCATCACCCCTTCACACTGTGACAATGAGCACCGGGGCGGGCTGGGAGGGGAGTGGTTCTCTCTCATCACCCCCTCACAGGCCCTCTCCACTCCTCTGACTGACCTGCATCCCTCGCCACACTGCCGCTGCTGTCCTCCGCTCCATGCCCAGTAGCAGACGAGCCTGAGCAGAGGAGAGGGGAAAGAATGGGAGGAGGGGGAGTAAAGGGGAGAGAAGTGGAGTGAGGGGAAGGGGAGGGAGGGGGCTGGCTTATGAGACGACCTCAGAGCCCAAGAAGATGTGGATTCGAACCGCTTGGGGGGCTTATGAGACGACCTCAGAGCCCAGTGCCCACCCACCACTCAGCACCACACACCACCACCACCCACCACCACCCAGCACCCCTCTCCACACCAGAATGTAACATGTTGTGAGTCCACTGTCAGCCATGAAGACTAGGGCGAGCAGCAGAATGTAACATGTTGTGAGTCCACTGCTTGCTCAGCGGCTCTAATTCCGCCCATGGCATGTCCTCTATCCGCCCTGCTGTCACCATCCACCCACCCACCACCCACCCAGCACCACACACCACCACACACCACCGCAGACCACCACACAACCATCCCATAGCACCCACACACCAGAATGTACATATCCTGAGTCCACTGCTTGCTCAGCGGCTCCAGCTCTGCCCAGGGCCACAGCATGTTCAGAGAACCACTCACCACCCAGCACCCACCCAACACAACCCACCACCACCCACCACCACCCAGCACCTAGCAAGAAGCAGCCAGCACCACCCAGCACCCCATAGCACCCACGCACCAGAATGTACATATCGTGAGTCCACTGCTTGCTCAGCGGCTCCAGCTCCGCCCATGGCATGTCTGCGATCTGCCCTGCCGTCACCATCCACGGCCGCTCGCTCTCCAACCGCTGCAACGCCCCCTTGAGACTGTCCACCCGCACCGACCTGCACGTGTGGGGTGAGTGAGGTGGGGAGAGAGGTGGGAGAGGCGATCTGCCCTGCCGTCACCATCCACAGCTGCTCGCTCTCCAGCCGCTCCATCTTGGACTTGAGGCTGTCCACCCGCACCGACCTGCACGTGTGGGGGGCACAGAGGTCTACGAGGGAGGGCAGAGAAGAAGCGAGAGAAAGGAGCATGTCTGTGTTCTGAGCCCACTTACATCCACCTGAATCCACCTGAGTGGGGGCAGAAAGGGAAAGAACCACTGCACCGACATGTATGTATGTACCCAACAGGATCCACCTGAGCCCATCTGAATCCACCTGAGTGGGTGAAGAAAGGGAAAGAAACACTGCACCGACATGTATGTATGTACCCAACAGGATCCACCTGAGCCCATCTGAATCCACCTGAGCCCACCTGAATCCACCTGAGTGGGGGAAGAAAGGGAAAGAAACACTGCACCGACATGTATGTATGTACCCAACAGGATCCACCTGAGCCCATCTGAATCCACCTGAGCCCACCTGAATCCACCTGAGTGGGGGAAGAAAGGGAAAGAAACACTGCACCGACATGTATGTATGTACCCAACAGGATCCACCTGAGCCCATCTGAATCCACCTGAGCCCACCTGAATCCACCTGAGTGGGGGAAGAAAGGGAAAGAAACACTGCACCGACATGTATGTCCCAACCAACAGGATCCACCTGAGCCCATCTGAATCTACCTGAGCCCACCTGAATCCACCTGAGCCCACCTGAAGGCCTCCACGCAGCGCACGCTCTCCCCTCCCGCCACCAGCCTGGCAGCCGTCTGGTTCAACCACCGGGCGGCGATTTCCGGCAGCACATGCAGTGAATCAGCATCCTCCAACTCCCCCTCATCCAACCCCCCCATCCCCTCCCCGCCACCACCCCCTTCCCCTCCGCCCCCTCCGCCCCCTCCCCCACCGCTCACTCCCCCTGTGCTGTTCCTGCTGCTGCTGGCGCTGGTCCCCCCTGTGACGCCGCTTTCAGGGGAGCTGCTGCTGGTGCTGGCGCTGCTGGTTGCGGCAGCTGCAGCGGCGGCGGTAGTGGTGGTGGCAGCAGGAGGGTAGAAGTTGCGGTGGAAGATGCGGGAGAGTGTATCCACAGTGAAGCGCGTGGATGCTTGTTGGCTGATGTCGGGCAACGGGGAAGGGGAGGGGCGGAGAGGGGGACGGGGGGAAGGGGAAGGGGAAGGGGAAGGGGAAGGGGAAGGAATGAGGGCGGTCATGGGGAATCCCGATGCCTCAGGTGGTTACAGAGGTCTCAAGAGGTTCAATGAGGTCCAGTGAGGTCCAATGAGGTCCAGTGAGGTCCAATGAGGTCCAGTGAGGTCCAATGAGGTCCAATGAGATCCAAAGAGGTCCAGTGAGGTCCAATGAGATCCAATGAGGTTCAGTGAAGTCCTAGGGGTCCTCCACAGCCAGAACTACTTACCTCCGTCTTGACAGAATGTCCCTGAGCTCGTACTCCAGGTCCTCCAGAGCGCACATGTTGAAAAGAGTGCTGACTAGCCTTGACTAGCCTTGACTAGCCTTGGCAAGACAGTCCCACAGCGCCTCACCTCCGTCGTGACAGAATGTCCCTGAACTCGTACTCCAGGTCCTCCATTGCCCGCCGAAGCATGCCGTCCGCGCGCCGCCCGGTCTCCTTATCCCGAGCCTCCAGCAGCAGTGCTCTCACGCTGAGCAGCAGGTCAATGGCCGGCAGGTACTCGTCCAGCTTGCAGTGCGGCCCCTCCTCTATGAACGCGTCCATCTGCGGTTGGAGGTGGGGAGAGAAGGCGAGCGGGGAGCTTGAAATGATGCTCTGTTCTGTGCCCAGCTACTCATCATATTCCATCGTACCTGATCTAGCAGCTCCACCACTCGTCGTCGCGAGATAGGCTCATCTCCCAACACCTTGGACTCGTAATACACATCATCCTCCTCCTCCCCTTCCCCTTCCTCCCCTCTTCCTCCTCCTCCTCCTCTTCCTCCTCCTCCTCCTCTTCCTCCTCCTCTTCCTCCTCTTCCTCCTCTTCCTCCTCCTCTTCCTCCTCCTCCTCCTCCTCCTCCTTCTGAAAACTCCTCCCCTTCGCTATGCACTTCTCTCACCCATCCCTCCTCAAACCCCCTCCACTTGCACCGCTCTCCCCCCCACCTCCCCTGCTCCCCCTCCTGCTCCCACCACTGCTGCTGCCACCACCGCTATCCCTCCTGCTTCTCCTGCCTGTAGCTGCTACAGCCGAGTCCCTTGGCCCGCCAGGAGTAGACTGGGACTTGGGAAAAGCCGCTGCTGCTACAGCCGCACCAGAGCTGCCGCCTCTGGGGTTACCTGCGCACCTGCTACCACTCATATGTTTACCACCATAACCACCCACTGCCTTTCCTGCTGCTGCAGCAGTTGATGGTGACGTGTGGGAGTGTTGCTGACGGGGTTGATACGACTCCCCACCAGAACCCATCTGCCATTCCTGCTGACCAGGTTCGGACGCCTCCGAGCCTTGGTGGTACGGGTAGTCCTCTCCCGAGCCGAGCACCGAGGCTTGGTACAGCGACCCTTGAGGGGAGCCCACAGGTGAAATCTCAGGTGAATCCACAGGTGTTCGCAACGGAGTGCGGCTGCTGCTGGGACGGACGGCAGGCAGAGCCACCCTACCAGGACCTGCCATCACAGCACCAGCCACCATCACGGGAAGCGAGGATGCACCAAATCTCTCACCCCTTTCTCCTCCTCCTCCCCCTCCTGCTCCCCCTCTCCCCCCTGCCTGCCCCCCTGCTCCTGCTGCTGCTGCTGCTGTTCTAAACGAGAACCCATCAGGAGAGGAAGGGGACAACTGATCAGAATAGGAATAAGCCTGCTGCTGCTGCTGCTGCTGCTCATGCTGGTGGTGCTGGCGGTGCAGGGCAGAAGGAGAGTATTCCTGCTCTTCCAAACCTCTGTAGCTTGGAGACATGTCCGGCGTCTGGTTCGGCGAGTGCTCCGGGGTTTGGTCCGGGGTTAGGTTCGGGGACCGGTTGGAGGAATGGTGAGAGGAGCGCACGGGAGATGATTGGCCCGGGGAACTGATGGGAGAGTGGTCTGACAGCCGGTCCGGGGATCGGTGAGAGGATCGGACAGGAGAACGCTCAGGTGAATGTTCAGGTGAATGTTCAGGTGAGGAATCTGTTGGCGACAGATCGGTCTCTCCCCGGCCACCTCTGTTCCCCCTATTGCCTGACCCGCTAAGGTAAACGCCCACCTCATCAACCACAGGAACGCCTAAACTCCCTGCTCCTGACCTTCTTCCCCCAATCGACCCTCCTGCCTTCCTGCCTCCCCCATGCGTCCCCCCGCTATAGTCATCCTCGTAGGACTCTCTCGCCTCGTGGTGGTCGCGCCCTCTAATAGAACGCTTGCTTGAGTCACTTTTGGTGCTCGATGTGCGACTCGCGTGCCTCTGTGGGAGGGTGGAACGAGAGGGAGGGGGGAAGAAAGGGATTAGAGAGGAGATTGAGTGACTTTTAGATGATTGTGATTACCCCCCCCCCCTGTCCTTGTGATTTGCGACCACAATCACCGCACACCGCTCACCTGCGACCCATGCCACCTGCAAGACGTCTCAAAAGTCTCAAGCCTTTGAGACGTTTCACAACACAACTACCACCAAGTCTCACCTGTGATCCGCGCTCCTCCATTGACGAGCACGACGGCACGCCGTGCCTCCCGGAACTCCTCCCTTCCTTCCCTGTGTCCCCGTGCCTCCTCTCCCTCTCCCTCTCCCTCTCCCTCTCCCTCTCCCTCTCTCTGTCCCTGTCCTTGGGTCGATCTCGCTCCTTCTCTCTTCGGCCTTCCCTCTCTCTCTCCCTCTCTCCGTCCCTGTCTCTCTCCCGCTCCCGCACTCTATCGCTCTTCCGTTCCCTATCCCTATCCTTCACCTCATAGTCCCTATCCCTGACTCGATCCCGTTCCCTATCCTTATCCCTGTCCCGCCTTTCCCGATCCTTCCCTTCTCTCTCCCTCCGTTCTCTGTCCCGACTGCCGTCGCGATCCCCCTCAAATCGGTCTACCCTCTCTCGCGTCCTCTCCCTCTCCCTTCCCTATCCCTATCCCTGTCCCTGTCCCTATCCCTGTCTCTGTCCCTGTCCCTATCTCCGTCCCGATAACGATCCCTATCCTTAACCTTATCTTTCGAGTCTCTATCTCTCACCCTCTCGCGCTCTCTCTCTTCGCCCCTGTCCCTATCGCGGCTGCCGCTGCTTCTCCTATACTCCTTATCCTTATCTCTATCCTTAGCTCTATCCCTATCCCTATACCTGTCCCTGTCCCTGTCCCTGTCACTGTGTCTGTCTCTGTCCCTGTCCTTATCCCGAACTCGATCCCTATCTCTGTCCCTATCCTTTCCCCGACTGCTTTCGGTAGACCTTTCGCTCGACTTATCACTGATAGACCCAGTCACTCGCCCGGCCTTGTCCTTGCTGTCCCGCGTCCGTCCCGCTTTTCCGTGACTCCCAGATACCGGCGGTCGCACGTCCCACGCTTCAGGCGAAACGTCGCCATCGTCGTCGTCGTCGTCGTAACGGTCCATGGTAACCCTAAGGTAGTGAACCTGACTTTCGCTGGTTCTCGAAAAATAGCATAAAAAGGTTCAAAAGATGACAGTGGTAGCTCCTAAAGAAAGCCGCCTTAATTTACGAGAGTTTAATATACGCAAGGCAAAAGACGCGGTCCGAGAATCGTTGGCCAAGAGAAGCAAGACAATGCTGCGTTCTTGCATGACTTAAGCGCGCCAAAATGCGTAAAACTCAAACTCGTGCCATATAGTACTCTTCAACGTAAAAAAAAACCTTTTAAGCGCTCAAGTTGGTGCTCGTAGGTCTTCGGTGTGTGACAAAAAACTAATAGCTGCCAGTACCAATAACTAATAGCTTCTCTCGACCAATGTGCTGCTATCCCAATGTCACACAATCCAAATAACGCTTGTGCTCATCTAGCATTGCCCGAGCTATTCTTGTTCGTACATAGTAGTATTGTCTGGACTAGAGTGAGTTTCTGCTCAACACAACCTCCATCGTTCTGCATGGCGTTTTCTTCACCTCTGCTGTAAACCTAGAGATGTACGGGTTGCTTCTGTTGCTTTTTGAAAAGCAGCTCTTGTGGAGCTGGTTCTGTTCGCCGGATACGGCCTTCTTTTTGTACCTTTCAGTAGGATGAGGTACCGAACGGAAACCGCGGCCACTCTTGTGGCATACTGTAAATTTTCCAACGTAGCTCCCATCGTTGCTTGGGGAGTAGGCTTGAAAACCCGCTAAGCTCAGTTGCTTGGGGAGTAGGCTCGGTAACCCAAAAACTCGATTGATCGATACCCGATGCGCAGGGTGCTCGAAAAATAGAAAATGAGAGGAAGGACCGTAACGGCTGTTCCTCCTGCGTTACAGATTCCGTGCCTGACAGGGCAAACCACTCACATATGATCAGGAAAGCATGTTTCCATCAGACTACCTTAGGATTCTTCAAGACACAGGCGCAGCAGGTACATCATCAAAAGCAATAAACTTCAGGAACGGTATTGGCAAGATAAATCCCCATACTAAAACATTAGAAGTACACAAGCTGTGAAGACCTCATGACCTGCTGAAGAAACCAGTGGCGGACGAATTATCTGCTCTAAGTGTATGGCTCCCCCCACCCACAGCCGCACCACACTCAGGGCAACGCGACTGCTGCATTGCCATACCACAATCCACAATCACATACACATGCCCATTCGGGCACCGGTACCAATGCCCCCTTCCCAAGCCTATCGCCTCAAACACATCATCCTTCTCACGTTCGGTCACAGCAAAGTACCGAGGTTCGTCGCGAACAGATTGCTCCAGCTCACGCAAGTCTTTCTCGAGCATTCTCCGAGCGCTGCCCCCCAGGCTGTCGTTCTCTCTGACTGACACCAGATGGTGTGAGGCCACCATGTGGCACTGCACCTTGGCTTTCTCAAGATACTCCAGCTGCTGCTCCTTTGACTCATCCTGCCAAAAAAGGTGCACAGGTAACCCAACATGTGACATCAAGCTCAGAAAGCGCAGCCAAAAAAAGGGGGGGGGGGGGAGGGAAGAAGCGGAGGGAAGGGAGGAGGGAAGAGGTGGAATGGAGAATTGGTGGTAGGGTGGAATGGAGAGACGATGAGGGGAGGTGGTAGTGAGGCAGACGAGGGTCAGCAGAAGACGAGGGGCAAAGCAGCGTTCTCACCAGGCCAGCAGGGGAGGTTGAGAGCAGGCGCTCCACCATCAACCCCCCCACGAACGCACGCAACACATCAGCCATCTCCAGCCTCCCCCGCGCCTCCAGCCGAGGCGCCCTGCGCTTGCCAGCCCACTCCACCGCCTCACCCACATGCTTCTCCGCATTCCGCAGCGCCTTCCGCACAACCGCCCGGAAATTCTTCAACTTCCGAGCCAGAAACTCATCTCTACCCGTGCTGTTCTTATCAATCTGACCAGCAGCCAGGCCAGCAGCCTGAGCAGAAGTCAGCCCAGCAGCTCGATGAGCAGTCTGGCGAGACAGCTTTTTGCGTTCATTCAGGAGGCATCGCAGCTGGAGGAAATTGGCAGTCATGAGCAGCTGGTAAGCTTTCCCCAGCAGCAGGAGGGCTTCGCAGAGGGGCCCGGTCTGTGGCTGCGGGACATACAGCAGCTGGCACTCCTCCTCCCACGCTGACACTGTCAAACCCGCAGAGGAACCTGCTGGAGAGTGTTCAGGAGCATCTTCAGGTGCATCTGCAGGTGAATCTGCAGCACCTGCTCGAGACGAGGATGACGATGCTCCCAGCTGGAGGTGCTTTCTCTGCAGCGCAGCCACAGAAGCCTGGTATGTCTGCTGGGTTGGCGGTTCCATACCAGTCACCCGCACCTTGTTTGCCTGCACGACCAGTGAAGTCGCAGCTTTAGCCAGCTCCTGCAACTGCCTGGGTTGAGCAGCCTCAGGGCAAGCAGATATGGCTTGGCTTAGCTTGGACAGCTTCTGCTGGAGCTGCTGCTGGTCTGCCATGCAGCTGAGGGCAAACTTGCGCTCTGATTCGTCGAGAAGAGCCTTGTTTACCATCCTGCCGTACCGACGGAGGCTTGTGATTGGCTGGCGGCACTCCGGGCAGCCCTTGAGAGCCGTCAGATCGCCATCCTCAAACGGCCGCACTGCCACCCACTTGCCAGCAGCAGCTTCCAATGCACCTCCCACCCCGCCTCCAGCCCCCCCTCCAGCAGCACTGCTGCCACCAGCAGACCTGTCTTCTGACTCTTCATAGACCTGGTTCAGCCCTAGATGACCGTCTAAAGTCTCCACAGTGTAGGCATGACCGCATGGCAGCACCAGCACAGGACTCTCATCTGGGTCAATCTCCCCTAGAGTTTCCAGTGTGACCAGATCCACAGTCATCTCTCTCTTCTGCTCCTCCCCACACCCTTCAACCATGCAGAATGCCTTTGCAGGGCACTTTTCCGCGCAGAGGGACGGGCACTGGTGGCCGCATTTGAGTTTTTTCTCGCACCGCTGCTCGCACGGGAGGCGGTCGCAGGGGGCGCTGCAGGGGAGCGAGCACCGACCCTGGTGCTTGCAGTGCCACCCGCAAGGCTCGGCGCAGGGCGCGCAGGTTCGGTGGCAGGGTTGGGGGCAGGAGCTGTGCTGGCAAGCCACGAGGCACTTTTTGGTGCAGGGCTTGCAGGGTTTGCCGCTGTGGCAGGGGTCGGGGCAGAGGTGCGCGCACGGGAGGGGGCGCGCGCACGGCTGCGAGCACTTCTTGTGGTTTCTCTCCAGCTGCTGCTGCTGCTGCTGCTGGTGTGGCTGCTGTAAGCCCCGCCCCTGGGCAGTGTTAGCAGCTGGAGCAACGATGCAATGACCGCAGGGAGAGATGCAGGTGTGGCCGCAGGAGTCCGAGAGGAAAACACCGCAGCGAGCCGTGCAGTGCTTGGGGTTGGCTACTCTGGTGGCGGCCTCGCCGCACTTGACTGTCTGCTTGTGCCCGCACAGGGGCATCGTGACCTCCACCATGACTCTGGCACAGTGGGAAATCAAGAGGGGGAAGCAACACGGGTGAACATGAAGACACCGCAGCGAGCGGTGCAGAGCTTGGGGTTGGCTACTCTGGTGGCGGCCTCACCGCACTTGACTGTCTGCTTGTGGCCGCACAGGGGCATCGTGACCTCCACCATGAATCTGGCAATACGGAGGGGAGGGCGTTGGAGAGGGAAGGGTGGAAGGGCGGAGAGAAGCACCACACACACAGTGTCATGCAAGGGCCGGCCGCACTTGACTGCCTGCTGGTGGCCACACAGCGGCATCGTGACCTCCACCATGAATCTGGCAACACAGAGGGGAGGGCGTTGGAGAGGGAAGGGTGGAAGGGCGTGAGAGAAGCACCACACACACAGTGTCATGCAAGGGCCGGCCACACTTGACTGTCTGCTTGTGGCCACACAGCGGCATTGTCAACTCCATCATGAATCTGGCAACACAGAGGGGAGGGCGTGGAAGAGAGAGGAGTGGAAGGAGAAGCACCACACACAGTGTCATGCAAGGGCCGGCCGCACTTGACTGCCTGCTTGTGCCCGCACAGCCGGCATTGAGAATAGCCTGCTTCCAACATTGTCTTGGCATGATGGGAAGTTGAAGAGTGGAAACAGTCAACGGAAGGCATGAAAACCCCAGAACTAACAGTGCAGAGCTTAGGGAACAGGCTAAGCAGGAAACAGGAATCAGCGCAAAATGAGTCAATGGCAGGGGACAGGAAACTTACGAGCAGAAATGGCAGTAAGTTTCTGTAAGGCCCAACTAACGGGGCTGTAGGGATTCTGGGCCTGCAGCACAGACAATGAAAGCCCGATGGCTGCAGAGGAACGAAGTGATTCTAGGAGACTCACGAGCAGAAGATAGACGAGGGTTTCTGAGCCTTGAAGCAGGGCACGTTGAAGGCCTGATGGCTGCAAGGGAGAGTGAGTGCCCGGATGGTGACGAGGCAGGGCCCACAGTACAGTCCTCGCCACACTGCTTGGGGCACGTGTGTTGGTTGGTGTGGACACTCCTCTAAAGGCCGGGGGAAAGAGGAACTTACGAGCAGAAGATTGAAGAGGGATTCTGAGCCTTGAAGCAAGGCACGTTGAAGGCCTGATGTCCACAGGGGAGCGTGAGTGCCCGGATGGTGACGAGGCAGGGCCCACAGGCCTCGCCACACTGTTTGGGGCACGTGTGTTGGTGCGGACACTCCTCCAGAGGGCGGATGCGGTTGCACTCCTTGGGACAGAACGCATTGGCGTGTGCCCTGTCGTCGCCATGGCACCTGGTGGCGAAGAAAGGAAGGTAGGCAATGATCATGAAACCCTTTGTAGAAAAAGATAGGATTCAGTTTCTGAGCTTGGAAGCACGACATAAAACAACAGCTGCATGAAATGCATGCATGTATGTCTCACCTGCGGGGGCAGGTGTGGCCGCAGGGATTGAGCCGAAAGCCACACATCTGGGAGCATCCGCCCTCGCTGGCCTTCTCCTTAAACTCCCCCGCTCTCTCAATGTGCGTCACCGTGTCCGGGTGGTTCACACAGCGCAGCGGAATGAACTTTTGCACGCACCCCCTGCTGTCAAGCATGTCCATGATCCTCGGCCAGAGGACCGATTTAGAGGTAGCCGCCCGCATGGTGCTGGCATTGCCTGCTCGCAGGAACGAGATTGGCGGGGAGAAAGGGGAAAGGGGGAAAGGGGGAAAGGGAGAAGGGAAAAAGAAGCCAGGAGTCTGGGGGCAGTCAGCTTAAATCTAGCCATCATGGAGCCTGGGTGGTTCACACAGCGCAGCGGAATGAACTTATCCACACACCCCCTGCTGTCAAGCATGTCCATGATCCTCGGCCAGAGCACAGACTTGGAGGTAGCCGCCTGCATGGTGCTGGCAGTGCCTGCTCGAAACGAGGAGATTTGCAGGAAAGAGGGGGAAGAGAGGAAGGACAATTTGAAAAGGCATGAATGAAGTGCTATTTGGGAATCACTTTTGAGGATTCTCAAAAGGGAGAAGGACAATTTGAAAAGGCACGGTGAGCTGCATAGCAGAAAAGGCATGAATGCAGTGCAATCACCAGTACCCACCAACACGCTTAAGACTCACCGATGACGTACATGCCATGCTTGGCTTGGCACGGGAGAGCAGCACATTGGTGCAGCATGTGTGGATGTATGTACCACCACCCAGCAGGCATGTATGTGCATGATCATTCACAACCCTCCGGTGTCAATTGACAAGCTCGCACTAACCAACGATGTACATGCCGTGCTTGGTGCGGGAGAGCAGCACGTTGGTGCGGTTGGGGCTCTTGAGGAACCCAATCTTGCCGTCCACGTTGTTGCGCACGAGAGAGATGATGATCACCGTGCTCTCCTCGCCCTGGAAACTGCACGCACATCAGAAAGTTGGAGGAAGGACACACATCCGAAATCTTGGGACAAACCAAGGCCTGCTCTCCTTGCTGTTGCGTACGAGGGAGATGATGATCACCGTGCTCTCCTCGCCCTGGAAACTGCACACCTCGACATGAAGAAGCAACACAGAAACTGCATCAGCACCCATGCATCGGACATCTTGCTGATGCATAGAAAAAACTAGGAAAATGATGAACACCGTGCTCTCCTCTCCTCGCCCTGGTGACTGCACAGCCCGGCCCAGCATGAAGAAACAAAGCCAAAAGCGACATCTGCACACATACATAGGACACCACATGAGCGACCTGTTCCTCCTCTCTCTTGCTCCACTCCAACCCTCCATTCCCTTCCAGCCACACCACACACTCACTTGTCAACAGTGGCTATCCGAACCGCATCCTTCAGATTCGCCGTAACCGCCTTAGGCGCAGCAAACTCCAGCCCCAGCCCCTTCCCCTTCCCCAACCCCGCCCCCCTCCCTAGCCCCAGCCCCTTCCCCTTCCCCAACCCCACCCCCTCCCTAGCCCCAGCCCCTTCCCCTTCCCCAACCCTGCCCCCTCTCTAGCACCAGCCCCTTCCCCTTCCCCAAACCCTCCCCCTCCCCAGCCCCAGCCCCTTCCCCTTCCAAAAAAAATTATTTCTGCAAAACACTCACTTGTCAACAGTGGCCAGCCGAACCGCATCCTTCAGATTTGCGGTAACCGCCTTTGGCGCAGCAAACTCCAGCCCCAGGCCCTTCCCCTTAGTCACCGCCGCCCCATTCCCAGCCTCCTCCCCCTCAGCTGCACCTTCCCTAGCAGCCGCCTTCTCCTCAGCCTCCTCCACCACCTCCGCATCGCCCTCCCCCAGGCGCACATTGACCACCTGGGAAAGCGCCTGGCGCAGCTTCAGCAGCTGGCCGACATAGGGCGTGAGGATGGTGACTTCCCCTCCCGAGTACCCCTGCTGCAGGAGATACGTGGCGAGGGCCACCACCATGGCTGCCTCGCCCGCGTTGGACTTTGACTTGCCCTCCCTCAGGTCGTCCCCTCCGCTCTCCGGAAAGTTGTGGTCCCAGAAGTGCAGATTGGCCGCCATGCCGCGCACGTCTGGGTAGCTAGGGAGGGGGAGGGGAAACAAGGGAGGGAGAGGGGGATGCACGGGCTTTCAGCTGCCGTGGTCCCAGAAATGCAGGTTGGCCGCCATGCCGCGCACGTCTGGGTAGCTGGGGACGTGAGGGGCAACAAGGGAGGGAGAGGGGGATGCACGGGCTTTCAGCTGCCGTGGTCCCAGAAATGCAGGTTGGCCGCCATGCCGCGCACGTCTGGGTACCTGGGGACGTGAGGGGCAACAAGGGAGGGAGAGGGGGATGCACGGGCTTTCAGCTGCCGTGGTCCCAGAAATGCAGGTTGGCCGCCATGCCGCGCACGTCTGGGTACCTGGGGAGGCGGGAGGATGGAAGGGAGGGAGGAGGGGAGGAGGGATGGAGGGATGGAGGGAGGGAGGGAGGTAGGGAGGGAGGGAGGGAGGTAGGGAGGGAGGGAGGGAGGGAGGAAGGAGGGAGGGAGAGAGGGAGGAAGGGAGGGAGGGAGGGAGGGATGGAGGGAGGGAGGAAGGGAGGAAGGGAGGAAAAAAGGGAGGCAGTTTGGCAGGCATGGATGGAGGGAGGCAGGCCGACTTGAACATGAACACATTAGGAACAATTCTACATGTTCAAGGTAAACGGCATGGATGGACACAAGAAGAGGAGAGGGGGCTGCTGCACTGCAAATGGACACTGCCATGTCAGTCAGACATACATACCCTGTGGGACAAAGGGCGCCCTTGAGACAAACACCCATGTCAGTCAGTCAGACACAAGGAATAACGTACCCTTGCACGAACGGGTGGTCCCTCAGGTCGGGGTAGATGGTGTAGCGAAAAAGGTCATATCAGTTATGCAAGAGAACTTGCCATATGTCAGAAGCATGCAACATACCCTTGGACAAAGGGGTGGTCCCTCAGGTCGGGGTAGATGGTGTGGCGGATGAGGTCAGCAATCTCAGGGCGCATGCGGCGCTGAGTGGCGAGGGTGTACACGGGGATCTGCCGGGAGAGCGCCAGGCGCTCGAAGAGAGAGACGTCCAGGTCGAAGCCCTTGTGGGAGTCCTTGCTCAGCTCGTACACCTCCACCTTGGGCCGCAGCTGCAGGTGGTCACCTGAAATCATTGAGTGTAAGAGGCACAAAGGTGGAGGTGGGTCAAGAGGGGTGGGGTGGGGTGACCAACTACGGAGTCCTTGCTCAGCTCGTACACCTTCACCTTGGGGCGCAGCTGCAGGTGGTGGTCGCCTGCCAATTGGAAAGGATGCAAGACACACACATGGGGAGGGAATGAATGCAGGGGTCGGGTGAGTCCTTGCTCACCTCGTACACCTCCACCTTGGGGCGCAGCTGCAGGTGGTGGTCGCCTGCCAATTGGAAAGGATGCAAGACACACACATGGGGAGGGAATGAATGCAGGGGTCGGGTGAGTCCTTGCTCACCTCGTACACCTCCACCTTGGGGCGCAGCTGCAGGTGGTGGTCGCCTGCCAATTGGAAAGGATGCAAGACACACACATGGGGAGGGAATGAATGCAGGGGTCGGGTGAGTCCTTGCTCACCTCGTACACCTCCACCTTGGGGCGCAGCTGCAGGTGGTGGTCGCCTGCCAATTGGAAAGGATGCAAGACACACACATGGGGAGGGAATGAATGCAGGGGTCGGGTGAGTCCTTGCTCACCTCGTACACCTCCACCTTGGGGCGCAGCTGCAGGTGGTCACCAGTTGGCAGTGGCACGGGAATGGTTAGGGAATAAACAGAGGACTGAGGTCAACAATTAGAGTCCTTGCTCAGCTCTTACACCTTCACCTAGGGGTGCAGCTGAAGGTGGAAAAATGAGGAGAGGGAAGAGGAAAAGGAGGAGGGAGGGCAAGAGGAAGAGAGGGGGGAGAAAGCGGTTGAGACGAGGGAGGATGAGAGGTTGACAAGAGGAAAGAAGAGGCAGGAGAGGGTGGGGGAAGAGACAAAGGTTCCTGTTCTTCCCACCTCTCATCCCCCTCCTCCTCCTCTTCCACCTCCGTTTCTTCCCCCACGCTCTCTTGCCTCTTCTTTCCTTTTGTCAACCTCTCATCCTCCCTCGTCTTAACCTAGCACCTCAGCAGCAGCCTCCTCCTCAATGATGACAGCGGGCAGTGACACCAAAACCACATCCGCAGCAGCAACAGCCCATGCCATACCATACCTATAAGAATGACATGCTGGGTCTGCGGGGTGAGGGAGGTGAGGATGTGGGCCTCAAGCACCTCAGCTGCCTCCTCTGCAATGATGACTCGCGGGCCGAGCGCCGTGATGAGGCGCTGCATCTTAGCATTGGGTTTGCCACACCTACGCCAGGACCATTGACCACCAGCGTTGAGTCTTGCCATACCCATGCCCTGACCACTCAGTTACCAACAACAACAGCCGTACCTATAAGGATAACATGCTGTGTCTGCGGGGTGAGCGAGGTCAGAATGTGGGCTTCCAGCACCTCAGCCGCTTCCTCCACGATGATGACTCGTGGGCCGAGCGCTGTGATGAGGCGCTGCATCTTGGCCACCCCGGACGTTGTCATGCCCACCACCTGCGCCCTCCTCAGCACCTGCAGGTCCTCCACCTGCTGTAACTCACTGCGTTCCCGCACCTTCCTGCACACACCAGATGCACACACACACAAGGCAAATACACATGCAGAACGGATTGGAATTTCTGCGTTAGGCCAGCTTGAAGGCCATGCCCACCACTTGCGCTGCGCCTTTGTCAGCACTTGCAGATCCTCCACCTGCTGCAACTCACTGCGCTCCCTCACCTTCCTGCACACGCCAGATGCACACGTGCAAGGATTTGAACTCCTTACCTGGAGTAATTTGCCACCTCCGCCTCAATGGCAGCAGTGGCAGTGGCGCGCAGCTCCCCCACCCAGAACTCCACCAGCTTCCTTCTCTCCCGCCCACTCGTTGCCCATGGGTCCTCCAATCCTAACAGCTCCTCCACTCCTCTGTCACTTCTCTCATCCACCTCCGGCCCCACCCACACCTCCTCCACCACCTCCTCCTCCTTCCCCTTCTTTCCCTGCCCCTGCCTGCCCCCTTTCTTCCCCCTGCTGCCTTGGCTTTCACTGCTGTCGTGAATGCCCAAGTCACCAGACGCATGTGGGAGATCTTCCTCCATAGGGAACCCTCCTGCCCCTCCTGCCCCTCCTGCCCCGCCTGTTCCTCCTGCTCCTCTCGTTCTCCCTGACGGCACAAGGCCTAGCCACGAGTCGTCAAGGCCAGTGCCTGACACTGCATCCCCACCACCACTGCCATCCTCGTAGAAGGTAGCCATCATGCCCACCATTTCGCTCAGCTCCTCACTCACTCCGCCGTCCCTCGCAATGCTTGCACCTGCCCACCCCTCCCGAACCTCGAACTCACCAAGGAAACCCAGGGCATCAAACGCGTTCTGCATGCCTGCCTGTTGTCCAGAAGCGCCTATCCCCACTCCCCCTTTCCCTCCCTGTGAGGGCATTCCCGCTCTTCCACCCCCTCCTCCTCCTCCTCCTCCGCTTCCGTTCCCCCTGCCGGATTCATAACCCTGATCCCCCCACGAATCAGCAGCACCCTTCTTGCGGCGAAGGGTTTCTTTGGGCAGGCCTTGCTTCCACCGCTTCCAGTTGTCCCGCCCCACTTGCTGTCACGTGAACAAAGAAAAGGGAGCAAGAGAACGAGGCTTGGTGCAGGGCGTCATCTGCAGCCCTGCAGAATCCGAATGCAGGGCGTCATCAGCAGCCCTGCAGAATCCGAATGCAGGGCGTCGCTGTACGTGCCTATCACCTCCTCCACCTCCCTCAATCTGCTGCTGTGCACCCCACCCCACCTCGTACCTTGACGGCCTGTGGGCCCACCTACACCCCCTTGCGCCCATGTCTACCCATTCACCTCAAACCCGTCCTTGTCTGCCTTGCTGACGGTGCGGAGCGCTTGGAAGAAGACAGGATGATTGGCCATGAGGTGGGAGGAGATGGTACCCCACGCCACAGCCGCCACGTTGTCGCTGCGCTGCTGCAGGGCGTCGCTGTACGTGCCTATCACCCTCCACCTCCCTTAGCTTGCTGCCCACCTCGTAGCTCGACTGCCTGTACGCTGTTCACACACACAGACGCGCACACGCGCACGCACATGCACACGCGTGCACTCACACACGTGCGCACGCGCGTGTGCACACACACACGCACACACACGACCCCATATAAGGGAGACGTCATAAAACAACTCGAGTCTTCTTAAGATGGGCATGAGCCGATCATCCCCACATTGCTCAGCTTGCTGTGCACCTTGTAATTCGACTGCTTGTACGCTGCTCACATACACATGATTCCACACCACACACATACATGACTATGTCAAGCACTCGAAAGAACGACTTCAATTTCCACAACACAAGTTGCTCGTGTCACAGGTTTGCAGTTGAAGGCATCCCACATCACACAACAGAATGGGAACGCACGTGAGTGGTAGGGGGGAGCATCTGCAATGTAGTGCAGTGCTGTGGTGCTGTGCTGTGCTGTGCTGTGCTGTGGTGCTCACTTCTGCTGCGATCCAGATTGGAGCTTCGGATGATGTTGAGGAGGTTGTAGTCTTGCAGAACTTCCGACTTGCTCCTCCCTCCCACTCGCACCACCTGCACAAGACACACCACGAACCTCCCAGACCAAAGTCATTGCATACTGCCAAAGCCAGCTGCCATGCAGAGGCTTGTCCAAAAAAGCAAGCTGACAAAGAAACCTGCAAATGACCCATTCATGAGCCCCACAAAACGCAACGTATAGCAAGAACCACAACATACATGGATCGATTACAGTGGGGAAGGGAAGCTGGGGAACCCAGGAAGAACTCACATCATTGATGCCACTGGTGATCAAGCCTTCTTGGAACTTATCCCGAGCGTGGTTGGTGAAGCACACGCACAGGACGGGAATTGCCAAAGGATTTACACTCACCACCTCCCCGGCTTTGGCATGCCTCCTTGCACATCTCTTCAAACTCACGTTCTTGATGCCACTGGCGATGAGGCCTTCCAGAAACTAATCCAGAGCGTGGTTGGTGAAGCACACGCACAGGATGGGCCCTGCTGAACTCGCCAACTCCCTGCCTCGAGCAAAACGACCTGAGGAGCTGCTCTTGAGCGGATTGCTCAGGAGAATCTCCACAAGCTTTATTCCCACAAACGTCTGCCATGTGAATACACAACAATGTTTGACCACAGAGCATAACAAGGTCAGTTAGTCCACAGAGCAAAATGACCTGACCAGCTGCTCGAGTGGATTTCTCAGCAGAATCTCCATGAGCTTTATCCCCATGAACGTCTGCCATGTGAATACAACAATACACAAAAAAAACCTTTGTGGGGCAGCAATGCAGCCCCAGTTAGTCAGCACCCGGGTGTGGGAGAGGGTGGGGAAGGTTTGGTGAGAGGAGTGAGAAGGCGTGCAGGGAGGGGGAGGAAAGGCGCTCTGGGGGGGGGAGGAGGTGTGACCTGGGAAGGAGGGGAAAGGCAATCTGGGAAACTACATTCATTTACTCTTTCCTATCCAATAAGCAGGAGAGAAGGGGGGAAGGAGAGAGGGTTGGAAAGGGTAGGGGATGGAGAAGGGGAAAGGAAAAGGAGCAGGGGGAAGGGGGAAATATAAGGTGAGTGGGAGTGACATGGCGTTTGGAAATCACTCTTGAGAATTCTCAAAAGTGAAATATAAGGTGAGAGGGAGTGACACGGCGTTTGGAGAGAGCGAAAGAGAGGAGGGAGAGGAGGGGGAGATAGAGACGGAGCAAGCGAAGAAGCTTGAAAAGAATATGTTTGTAGTTTTAGAAGATGAGAATCTTGCTGCTATTTTCACGAAGGCCACACCTAATTGCTCACAGCATAAATGAGCAGGTGATGACTGTGGCTGGCGTGCAGGTGCGCGGGAGGTGAGGTCAAATAAGGATATGTAGAATGCATCAAGAAAATGCGATGGGTAACTATGTGGTGAGAGTCCAAAGACCCGTGCACTGGAAGTGTTAAGTAACCTATGGAATATAACAATTTGGATAACTAAAGTTGGACCCGTACTCGTCCAACTTTGCAGATCGAACAGTAGAAAGAGGTGGTGAACCCGAAACCCGAAACCCTAAACAACAAAGGGAGGTGGTGGATTTGAAGCAGCAGGAGAAATGCGGCGGATTCGGACCAGCACAGGGAGGTGATGTTCTAAATCCACCATCTCCCTCACATTCCAAATCCACCATCTCCTCCTGCTGTTCCAAATCTACCACCTCCCTTTGCTATTCCACCTCCACCACATCCTATTGCTCTCCCACTTCACCACCTCCTGGTCTTCAACCCACCCACCTTGCCAGTACCCGGGGGCCCTTGCAGCAGAGCGAACTCCTGCGTGAGGGCAGCTCGCAGCGCCACAGTCTGGGGCTCGTCCAGCGACGTGCAGCGCAGGAGAGCATCCAGGGGGAAGGCGGTGGGGCTGGAGATCATCACATTCCTGATTGCAAACTCGTCCTCTGGAGTGTTCCCTGCCTGCTGAGAGGAGGACGAGGGCGGCTTGGTCTTGAGCAGCAGGCTCAAGTCGTACCTGCACGCAAGGGAACACACACATGTGAACGCTCATAAAGAGGTCTGGTCTCAAAGGGAAAGGCAGTGGGGCTGGTGATCATCACATTCCCGATAGGCAAAACTCGTCCCCTGCAGCAGTGCCTGCCTGCTGGGGGGAGGGGGGTGATACCTTGTCTTGAGCAGCAGGCTCAAGTCATAACTTCAACACACACAAAACCTTGTCCCTTGCCAAAATATTGAGAGAGGTGCCATTGCGAGAATGCTGAAAATGCGTGGCTTTTCACCCGCCCCACCTCTCTCCCATTCAGCCCGTCACCTCCAACATTGCATAAAAAGCCCAACCCCCTCCCAACCTCCCTTTTCCACTTACATCATGCCTCCTTTGATGTATGCAGGCAGCTTGTACGCTCCAGGGGCCCTCCCAGGTATTGCACCAGGTACCCCCCCACCAGGTGCCACACCAGCTGCCCCACAGATGTACTCAGAGAAGGGAAGCGACGCGTCAGTGATGCTCTGCAGCGCCTTCAGAATCGGCTCGTACGCAAAGAAGCTCCCATGAGCCTCCAGCATCACCACCTGTGTGCCCTTACTCCCGCCGCCACTCCCGCCACTCCCCCCACTCTTCCCACTTCCCCCACTGCCGTCCTGGGCAATCAGCCCCAGCAGGTCTGCACTGAACCCGTTCTCCCCGCACGGCTGCACTCCTATCTGCGGCCTGGCAGTGGCAAGCCTCTTCGTATCTCGGGCTGTGATAGTTGCAAAGACGAGCCGGTGGGACGAAGAGTCACTCGCTGAAGTGTCTCCTGCAGGGGGTGGCTGCTGCCTGCGAGTGCGGTGAGTGTGACTGCGCTGGATGCCTCGAATCCACAGGCAGACCAGCGAGCCGTTCTGCAGCCTCCGCGTGTTGTCCCAGAACTCCACCCTGGAAGAAAAACAAAGAAGGACGCGAGAAGAGGTGAGTGTGGCTGCGCTGGATGTCTCCGATCCACAGGCAGACCAGTGAGCCGTTCTGCAACCTCTGTGTGTTCTCCCAAAACTCCACCCTGAAACACAACAAGGAAGGGGTGAACGAGTAGGAGAAGGATGTTCGCTATTGCCATCAGGATGACTTGCGATCGGCTGCAGGCTGCAAGCGCATTCAAGCATATTTCACATCGGTAAGCTAGCTGCGGTTGGGCTACCTGTTACGAGCCTGCCGGCCCCGCAGCATCGGTGGCTCCAGGAAGTCAATCAGAAAGTACACGCCGCTCTTCTTGTCCGGGTTGGTAGACAGCACACGCACATCCCGCAGCAGATACGCGTCCATGTCCTCGGAAGGGAACTCAAACTTACCAAGACTGAAGAGACAAGCCTACTCGAGCGTGCTTCGGATGGGTGAGATACCTAGTGTTGGGTTACCTGTTACGGGCATTCCGGCCCCGCGGCATGGGAGGCTCGAGGAAATCAATCAGAAAGTACACCCCGCTCCTCTTGTCCGTGTTGATAGACAGCACGTGCACATCGCGCAGCAGATACACGTCCATGTCCTCCGAGGAGAACCCCACCACGCCCTTCATGTCATCCGTCAGACCCCGCACCAACTCCCTGTCCGCCCTCAACAGCCCCATCACCTCCTCCCTTCCACCACCGATGCCACTGTTCCCGCTGCTACTCCCGCCACGAGCGCCCCGGGACGCTTCGTGGTTGAGGCGGTGGAAGAGGAAGAGCGCCTTGCTCCAAAGGGGGGCAATCAAATCGTGGCGGAGCAGGCGGAATTGGATGTCCACGTGGCGGGCTACGGAGCCTGCTGGCAGGTGGTGCGGCTCGCTGGGGTGGTTGTGCGGCAGGTAGGGCGATGCCTTGCACAGCACCTCCTCCATTGTTGGCGCCACGGAAATCTGGTGATTCGGACAAAGAAGGAGGTATTATGACAGGAGTCTGGTCTCTCAGGGTGTGTTTGAGAACTCTCTAAGAAGCTCCTCCATTGTCGGAGCCACTGAGATCCAGAAACCTTCAGGACTGGAGTTTTCTGGTCTCAGGAAAGTGAATCATCAGGACATGAGTCTGGTATCGGGAAACAACAACTGATCAAGGGAGAGGGAACCAATAAAAGTCATGAAGAAACATGCCAAAAATAGTAACATTTACCGTCATCTTCTTACAGCTGAGATTTCAAGATGGTCGTTGTCATGCCGGGGGCGGCCCTCCAAGCTGAGCTCGCCTGGACCATCCACATCCTGCATGCTGGACAGGCGCTGACCTGCAGTAGCACGCACATGGTGCACAGCGGTAGCACAAGTTATTTTGTGTCATTGAACGGACAACAGACAGACATCATCGTTATCATTTAAAACAATTTCAAGCCAGCTGGAATTAACCAGACCAGCAGCTCCCGAAACTCCATGAATCAAACCTGAAAGAAGTCAGTATGCAGCAGCTGCCCTTCCTCCATCCCCAGCCTCTGTCTCGCTCACTGTGCTGACGCCTATCCAGCGACTTCTGAGACATTTTACAAGACAAACGAACCTGAGAGGAAGAACTCGCTATGCAGCAGCTGCCCTTCCTCCATCCCCAGCCTCTGTCTCTCTCACTGTGCTGACGCCTATCCAGCGACTTCTGAGACATTTTACAAGACAAACGAACCTGAGGGGAAGAACTCGCTATGCAGCAGCTGCCCTTCCTCCATCCCCAGCCTCTGTCTCTCTCACTGTGCTGACGCCTATCCAGCGACTTCTGAGACATTTTACAAGACAAACGAACCTGAGGGGAAGAACTCGCTATGCAGCAGCTGCCCTTCCTCCATCCTCTGCCGCTGTCTCTCACTGTGCTGCCGCCTATCCAGCGACTTGCGCAGCCTGTAAAGCGTTGATCTAATGCTGTGGTATTTCCCATCAAACACCGGCGTCTCCCTCTGCCACTTCTCAAGCATGCCTTCTAGCTCCTGCATGTCTGCGCTGGCTTGTGCTGCATCGAACAGGGAGTAGAATCGATCCATGGTAAGGTTGAAGAAGCTGATGATGATGTGGAATGCCGCATCCCAGTCGTTGATATTGTCGTCGTCCCGTGATAGATCGCGGATCATTCCCCGTTGGGTAAGGAGGCGCATGCAGCCGATGAGGTACTCTTGGAGACCTTCCAGCTCGACGACTGCTGCTAGGGTTACGTTGACCTTGCTCGATGCAGGATTGTTGCAAACTCAGGCTGCGAAATACCATTTCCAAAAATGAAACCCGGGAAAATCAATGAGCTTTCTAAAAAACGTAGAAATGAATTAGAGCAAAAGGATACCATGTTCTAGCGGAATTACCAGCACAACTGCAAGCAAAATTGCAGGACGTTACCTGACAGATGACCCTGAGCATGGGCAGAATCACGCCCTGGAAGGAAACGAATCGGCTGTGATTCCCAGCAGACACGGATCTCGAAGGACCGCAAGCAACAGCCTCCCGGCAGATGCTCACCACCTTCTTTCTGCCAAACAGCTTGTCGTCAGCCAGCACAATCACAAGATCTGCAGAAACAGTTGGGAATTCGGTATTAGCAGCAACAATTTTGTGACATCAATATCGCTGACTGACAACTGAAAGTAGCAGCACTGCAGAGGACAACCCGTCATGATGTGAAAGTTGAAAAGAAAGAAAAACTTGGTACCTGAAGCGTCATGAGCTTCCATTGCGTTAACGAAAGTCCTCATCTGAGACTGATTCAGAAAATCTCTGTCAGTAGGCAGGAAGGACCATAGGCTAGGCCCCCTCCTCTCCTGTCCGTCTGAACTGGACGATCCTCCTCTTCCTCCTCCTCCTCCCCCCCTTCCTCCTCCTCCTCCTCCTCCTCCTCCTCCTCCTCCTCCTCCTCCTCCTCCTCCTCCTCCTCCTCCTCCTCCTCCTCCTCCCCTTCCTCCTCCTCCTCCTCTCCCTCCTCCCCCCCATCCTCCTCCTCTACCTCCGCTCTGATTTTGATTCGGATTACCAGATTGCCGCCCTCCTCTGCCTCCTAGAATTCCCCGTCCGCCATGGTTCCGTCCTCGCCCCCTGTTGCCTCCGTAATCCATGGTTCTCAACACTCTAGCCGAGTTTTGAGGCGCCTCAAAACTCAACACTCTAGTTGAGTACGGATTCCGATGTCGGATAGTCTGCTCTAGGACAGTGCTTCAGGGCCGGCCTCAGAGAGTGCTTTCGAGACGTCTCAACAATGTTTCGGGTCCGACGTAGGAAGGAAAGTCTGCTCCGCTCTAGGTGTGTTCCAGCGGCACAGAAGAGTCTCCTCTGGGCGTTTGTTCCAGGTCCCACCTAGGAGAGTCTGCTCTGGGAAAGTGTTCCTGGTCCGAAGTAGACAGTCTCGTATAGGTGAATTCCGTTACTCCAGCAGCACAAGACGGATCAAGTCGCTTCCCTTGATCAATAGACCCACAAGAAGATGGCAGCAGCTGGCTGTGCCAATGGCCTGATGTCAACCACTCGTTCTCCAGGTGGCGAAACCTGTGTGTGTATCAGGCACATTAGCAGCACAGCCCCACCAGCAACTAGTTGTGCAAGTGATTTGCTGCAGGGAATCTCGTCTTAAGAAGGTTCAACCATCACTCGTGGTCACCGGAAGCACAGCCCCACCGCAAGAAAGCAGCGGAGTACGCAAAATTGTCAAGCCCAATAATGCCAAATGAGGTTTTATTCATTCACATTGGTCATTCCACACCCTGCTAGCATAGCCCCACCAGCAGCCCCACCAGCACCGGCAGTGCCAGTGCGTGAGCTGATGTGAAGCGCATCAGTTCCAAAACAACGCGAGGATATCAGTCTGTGTCCGAATCCGTCTATATCCAGCGAATCGACGGATGCCAGCCCTTTGGACATGTCCTCCACCGCTTTTGTCACCTCCAACATGCGGAAAACCAGGTCGATGAGTCCCATATCTGACTCTGGCCGCTTCTATTCGCTGGATTTTCCGTTTTTTGCCCGTTTCCCTGCCCGCGGCAAGCACTTTTGACATCCCTCGACATCCCCAAGAGATCAGGGATGTCGAGGCTGGGTGCCGAGGCCCCTTCAGACAGAGGCATCGCGAGGAAGCACCCAAACGTAATCCGTCCACTCCCGTCAACATCCCGCATCCCACTTCCGACATGCTGCAGAACTGGCGAACAAAACGACAGGCCTTGGAAGCTCCTCACGCCAAGATGACCCCTCTGGTTCTAACGCCCTACCCACGCCTTCGTCACGCCTTGTTTTCCAGCGGTTTGCGGCATCGCACTCTGATCAGTTACCACTGGACGTTGGGACGCCCCCTTACCGTGTACAAGCTAGTCCCTTCACAGTTTAGTATGCTTCTTCTAATTGAACAGAATGCTACATACGATTCTATGTACATATAGCCCTTCTATGCTAGGTACATTCTCTGCACTGTAATATGATACACCGCCAAGAGACCAGGAAAAAAAAATTAAATCTACTCAAAATCAAAATTGTAATGCCTTGGCATCTAAACATTGATATTACCAATTTTCAAGTAGAGAGCTTCTGAAGGTTCTGCTGTACACGTACCTATACCAAAATATATGCGGATAACGGCTGGAGTAGGTTATTCTATGGAAAAGCGATTTCCTCCTTATAGAAGCCCTTCCGCCTCAAGATTGTCATTTGATACTCCAGGTCCAGCCAGCCTCGTCAAAATCAAGGCTACGTGGTTCAGGTAACACACCAGCCTAGTATGTCGTAGAACTCCGACATCTTGCTTGTCAGGAGGTTCTCGAGCGGTACACTCTAATCGTCATCTGCACCGTTACGGTGTTCTCAACCTTGTACCGTTGCGCCCGGAACTGCGTTTAGGCCTGCCTTGCTACAGCGATCTCCATGGAAGGTTGACTTTATGAGCTATACTGCAGATTGTTGAAGTCGTTAAATCAGTCCCGCAGATCACAGTCAGTCAATGGCCACTGTGGCGAGTCCTCAAGCGCTTTTCGCGAATCCAGGATCATCGTCACTACCACCAGCAAGCCTAGGCTCTGCAGCGATGACAAGTCAGGGTGGCCCTGATTCGGCCGAGGAGAGAAGGTCGTCGGTTCCGCAGCAGCTATCCTCGGAAGAGCTGGCTGCTCAATTGCTGGACGAGCTATTCGGTTCTGACGACGATTCGGTAAACAGCTAGCTTCAGTTTCTGATGAAAATTAATTTCAGTTGCTGGGGATGTGTTTGGCCTTAGCAATGATTCGGCAACGTGGAAGCGGGAAGGTAGTAGCGGTGGAAAGATAACGAAGTCAACCGCCGTCTCTCGCGCCCAATATGTGCAGGATGATGCCATGGGGTCGGCACTGCACACAACAGGAGGTGACCTGACTTTCGGCGAAGATGTTGCTGTGTGAGTGAGCACCGAGCCGCCGAGCGTTACAGAGCATTAAGAAACGTATGAGTGCCGAGGAGCCTATGGATGCACTGAGCCGTTGAGCTACAAGGAAGACCGTTGTTACCGAACCTGGTCTTTGTTGTTTGCATTGGACGCTTGGCTGTGTCTTTGTATGTGTTTGGTTTTCAGCCAGGCCAGACTTCCTTTGCCCATTCGCAGGCTCCTCCTCTTTACCTTTGAAGTTGTGCTTTGGAATTTCTCATCGTCTTCGCTCCCTTGACATTTCCCTACGTCTCTGCGTCCCTGACCGCTTTCTTCCCAGCAGGGACGAGTCTTTCCTACAAGGGCTTCGGGAGGACCTGGATCGGTTTAAAGACCACGAGGTCAGTCCTGACTCCTGAGTGATGCATCCAAGTAGTGGAAGTTTTTCCCTATTTCAGTCTCCAAGGACTTCCTGCCAGCAATACAAGAACTTGTTTACAAATTTGAAGGAGTGACCTGCGAGAGTTTTTCCGGGAGGTGGATAAGAACGTGAGACAGTTGGAGCCCACCATACCACAAATAGGACTTTACATCTGCCCCTTTCTTTTCGTCTTGCCCTTCCAGGTTGTTTCAAACATTCTGGGTCAGGGCAGCGACCTGCGTGAGTTCGCACGGGAGGTGGAGGAGAAGCTGAGGCAGGTGGAGCTGGCTGGAATCGATTCAGCTTCCACACCCATCACAAATCGGACTTTGCTTGCATGTGTCCCTTTATCCCACCCGGCCCCCCTTTTCCAGGTTGTTTCCAACATCCTGGGTCAAGGCAGTGACTTGCGCGAGTTCGCTCGAGAGGTGGAGGAGAAGCTGCGGCAGGTGGAGCTGGAGTCGATTTTGTGTTTATACCCACCACACCACAAATGGAACTTGGCATGTGTCCTTGTCTCCTCCTCTCGACTGTTCAGGTTGTTTCAAACATTCTGGGTCAGGGCAGTGACCTGCGAGAGTTTGCTCGAGAGGTGGAGGAGAAGCTGCGGCAGGTGGAGCTGGAATCGATTCAGGACTACATGAAGGAGAGTGACAACCTGCTGGCACTGCACGCTCAGATCAAGGACTGTGACCTCGTGCTCACCCACATGGAGTCGCTGCTGGGGGGCTTCCAGGTATGATCAGCAGTCTGGTTTTGGGAGTGGTGATTCAGTAGGAGTCGGCTCTGCTGATTCCTTTGCTGTGTAGGACCTCCTCTTGTTCCCTCTCCCATTCAACCATTCCTTGATGCCATAGTACCAGGCTGAAGTTTGCTCTCCTCCCTATCCTTCTCACCCTTTCTCTCCGCCCATCCAGGCGGATTTAGGAGCAGTGAGTGCGGAGATCAAGGACCTCCAGGAACGCTCCATGGGAATGGCACAGCGACTCCGGAACAGAAGGGTATGTTGTTCGTTCCACACACAGCACAACACAGCGCAGAACAGCACAGCACAGCACACCACAGCACCGGACTAGTGATTGTCCAGACGTTTTTTAGAGAGTGGAGGGGAGAAGAACATGCTAAGATGAACGTGCATGCTGTGCATGGATGTGAATCTAGAAAGGCCTACAATTTTGGAGAATGGGAGGTGGTCGAGGGGTACGTAATACATTCTAGCGCTGCAGACCTTCTCCTTCTCAGTTACTCTCTTTCCCATCCCCTTCCACGAACCGTTCACTGCCCTTGCATTCCATCCCCCATGCACAGGCAGCGGAGGGGCGGCTGGGGCGGTTTGTCGAAGAAATGGCAGTGTCGCCAGACCTGATAGACACAGTGGCAGAGAGCGAGGTGGGCGAGGGTTACATGCGTGCACTGCAGGCGCTGAACCGCTCACTGTCCCTTTCCCATCCCTCTCACCACCCACGCAGGCAGCGGAGGGGCGCCTGGGGCGGTTTGTGGAGGAGATGGCAGTGTCGCCAGACCTGATCGACACGGTGGCAGAGGGCGAGGTGGGCGAGGGTTACATGCGCGCACTGCAGGCGCTGAACCGCAAGCTGCACTTCGTGGCAGAGGAGCCCAGCGCTCGTTCATCTGCTGCCATGCGCGATGTGCAGCCCGAGCTGGATCGCCTGCGAGTGAAAGCTGTGATTAAGGTAAACTGTGAGGGGTGTGCAGCTGGGCTGGGGGTGGCGTGCTCGCGCACGAATGTGGGCTCTGCAGGCGCTGAACCGCAAGCTGCACTTTGTGGCAGAGGAACCCAGCGCTCGTTCATCTGCTGCTATGCGGGATGTTCAGCCCGAACTGGATCGCCTGCGGGTGAAGGCAGTGATTAAGGTAAGTGTGGCGATATGAGCGTGAGTGAGTGAGGGAGTGGACGATTGGTGGTGGTTGTTATCACGGTGAGCAACGTGCAGCCCAAGCTTGACCCCCTGCGAGTGAAAGCTGTGATAAAGGTGGGTGACTGTGGTGACAGTGACTGTATGGGTGTAAGTGAGGGGGAGAGGAAGAGGTGGTGGTGGTTCTTTTGTCGGGTACATACATGCTGATGTGCTGCTTTTGTTTGTCTCTTTGCAGGGGAGGGAGTATCTGATGCAGAAGATCTATGCTCTTCGCAAGCCCAAGACCAACATCCACATTCTGCAGCAAAACGTGCTCCTCAAATACAAGTGAGAAAGAAGAGAGCCCTTCAAGTTTTTGAAACCCGTCATATTCATCACACACACCATTTTGTCGGCTATCTTGCAAATTACCTTTGCTTTCCACCTCCCCTTTACCTGCTCCCTTTATTGCAACTCTTTCCACTGTCATTCTATGCCGGGATCTGCACAGGTACCTGGCAGTGTTTCTAAAGGAGCATGGACGCGTGGTGTACACTGAAGTCAATAACGCGTACATAGACATCATGAGCAAGGTATGGATTGGCGCGGTGAATCTACTTGTCCATTTCATTACAGCATTTGTCCTTGGAGATCTCTGGCAGGTCAAGTGCCTAGTTTCCGTCCTGCTCCTCTCCTCTCCTCTCCTACTTCCTTCAACCCTGCCTGACTCCAGCCATATCAGCTGTTGGCAGTCCTTGCTGACTCCAGCAATATCAGCTGTTGGCAGTCCGTCCCTGTTTGTCACTCTACCTTCGTTATTCTCTCTTTGCTTTCCCTTTCCGCTCCTTCCAGGTGCTCTCTCTCTCCATCTGCGCACCTACATCTCGTCTCTGGAGAAGCTGCAGCTCGACATTGTTGCACGCACTGATTTAATCAGCGTGGACGACAGCAACAAGCTCGCTCAGACCATCTTCATAACCCTCCCTCCCTCTTACCCTCCCTTCTCCTCCTCTCAGGTGCTCTCGCTCCACCTGCGCACCTACATCTCCTCTCTGGAGAAGCTTCAGCTCGACATTGTCTCGCGCACCGACCTGATCGGTGTGGATGATAGCAACAAGCTCGCTCAGACTATCTTTGGCCGCGCAGGAAGGGACCTCAAGAATCGGTCGGCTGTGTTTTCGTTAGGGAGCAGAGATCAGGTGAGATGTTAGTTAGATTTTTGGGAAATAATCGGTTGTAGCGGAAAGGAAGGACCTCAAGAATCGTTTGACACTTTTCTCTCTTC